CGGAAACAGGGGAGAGGAAAGGGAAGTTGAGCGTGCAGCGAGGCATCAGAGGCCTCAGCGTCCGCGTCGCCGGTCAACAAAAGGAAGTGGTGTGGCGTGCTGAGAAGTCTGCAAATGAAGAATCAAACGCGCAAACGTGCAAAAGCGGGACGAAGGGAAAAAAATGCACCACCACCTGACTGGGTCATGTGAGGGGTCATGTGACGAGAGAGGGGTGTCAGCTCAAATACGCAAGAAGGGGATGACCATTTTTTTTTTTTTTGCCAACGACGTGCCAACGACGAGGTGATGGGAAAGTTCGCCAATTCGGCGAACGGGGCTGGGTGGCATCCTTTGCCGAATTGGCGATCAACGTGATATTTGAGGCAGGGCAGTCATGGGCGGCTGCACACTGACACGCCACCTGATTTCGCGTCGTCGACGTCGCCGGTCGAAAGAAGGGTTGGGATGGGGTAGCGAATAAAGTGTGTGCCCCACTATTCTACCCCTCTGGTAGGGTGGCTGGGATGACGATCATTGGTGTGGGAAAATCAATCTTCTGCCTCACCGTAGCTTCTGTCGCTCTGTTTCATGCTATCGCCCAGCCCAAGACCGCTTACCCGAGCACCCAAACGAGCGCCCAGCTCCATCAGCAAGCTGGCCCAAAGCCCGTCGTGTTGAAGAGAAGTCAGCAAACAGGCATCGACCAAAAACCAAGAGACTCAACATCACACGAAAAGGGAGGGGGGTTAGTGCCACTCGGCATGCTGGAAAATCGCATGATTTTGTGAGTCGATGGTTTGGATGGATGATGGGTGAGCTCGAGACGCTCGACACTGACTGACTGGTTTGGCGACTGCCAAGAAGGAAGATTGGAGTGGGGAGGTTGGGCGATTTTGGGGGCAGGGCGACGTTTGGTTTGTTTTTGGCTGCAGGACATGGTGATGAACTTTAGTGTCATGCACGGTTGCAGAATCAAATGACTCCACGCACAGAATCAAGACACGCTCTCGCTGAAACGCTCTCCATTCCCATGATGTGATGGGTCGTACCTACGGTGGACATTGATGAAATAATTTTTGTTCACAAACACATCTTCCTTGGCCCTTGACGAAATGCCGAGCACCTGCAGCTTGACAGTGTCATCCGCCACGACCCCGAGTGGTGCCCAAGCAGGGTGTTGCGTGTTGCTTCATTTCTGATCAAGGCCTACGCGGACGGGCATGACGAATGGGAACAGAGCCCCATTTGGCTACACCAACAGCGTCAGCCCCTCCTCCCCGCGGTGGTGTAGAGCACGATGTTGAACCGCTCACGTGGCCACGATCAAGGCATCCTGGGCCACGTAATTCATGATGGCAGGATGCAGTCATGGCTGGGATCCATCTACTTCCTACCTGCCATGACTTGAAGTCATCTTGTCTGCCACATTGCCCTTGATCCCTGTCTCATTTCAAATCACAAGACTCAAAGTTGCATTCACGAATCGACTCGGTCGTCATATGGGAAACTCATAGCAGCAACGCACACTGCAAGTAATAACAAATGCACAGCAATAAACAAACGGCTTGTTGTTCTCAGAACGATGTGGCAGCTACAAGTGTGGGTCAAGGCTGCTCTTGTTCCACGGGCCAAGGCAAGCTTGGCTTTGAACCAAGGGGCGGACGCCACAGAGAACAAGCGGTACAAGAAAACAGTTTCGGTCACAAAAGAAAGAAAAAAAAAGAGGTGCCAGAGCTAAGCGCGCTAGTGCAAAAGAGACAAGATTTTATCAGGGGGGGGGGAAAACGCCAAGTGCCGGGAGTCTTAGTGCCGGCTAAATAATATGGTCACTGTTATCAGAAGAAGACTATCAGAAAGAAGAAACAAGGCATACCTGAGTAGCCACAGTAGCAAAGCTAAACAAAGAAGCCACCGAGTACGAGCAGAGCCCCAAAATTTATGTGCGGGTCCCATAGCGCTGGCGCACAACGCCGCGCAGTACCTCGAGCTGCGAGGCCAGATCTGCCTGGAGTTGCTCTAGCAACTGGCGACGGGCCAACGCCCGTTCGATGGCGCTTTCCACACGGGCATCAGAGGCCAGTTGCTTGGCTCGACGTCGCTGAGCCGCAATACGAGCTTGGTCGCGCTGACGCTGCTGCTGGCTCGGCGGTAACTCGGCCATGCGACGTCGCACCCGGTGGCGTCGGCGTCGCCGGCGACGCGGAGCGCGCTTGGAGCTGCTGGCAGCGGTGGTTGATGTTAAGGCCGGCTTGGAAGCTTGGGTTGACGGTGTGGCCTCAAACGCGGCGCTTAGCGCCTCGCGCGTGGTCTCTTCTTCAAGTAGCTCGAGGTCAACCCCAAAATCCACCAAGGTCGAAGACTGCACTGGATTTGAAGCCAGGATATCCGTGTCCACGGCAGTGGGAATCGAAGGCGCTACCAAATGCACTGACGCATCAGTTCCCGACTCGTAACCCAGGGCAGAGTCCTGAACCACGTCGGCAGATGGCAGGACCACCTCGTGCAGGGCGGAGAGCACACATGAGGCCGAGTGCTCAGCCTCATCGCCTGGTGAGGGCGACGATAGAATCAAGTTGGCCTGGTTAGATGTGACTTGGGACTCAATCTCACGCTCAGCTGGGGTCTCTTGCAAGAGAGCACAGAGTTGCTCAAGGGGTTGGGAGGGCGAGGCTCCGGCCGCGTCAGCAGTATCCGCGGCCTCGAGAAGCGGTGAGAGAGCGCAACCAATGGATGCCGGGCTCGGCGTGCGGCAGCTGTCCTCGTGGTGCGCACGTTTGGCCGATGGATAAGCATCTGCTCCCGTAGCTTTGCTTGCAGGCTGCCATTGGTGACCAACTCCATCCATTGACGAAGAGAGGCTCGCACCGCTTCCGCGCGGTAGCGTATTCGGCTTGATCGGCACATCGCCCCCAGGCAAGGCCATGGTGGGAGACGCACAACAGGGCTCGGGCCGAGTGGGGTTGAAGGCAAGGATACATTGCTTAGCCCGATACTGAGCTGGCTCTTGAGCTTGAGCCGATGAGGCTTGCCAGTTATTGAAAAAGTGCGTGCCGTTGAAGGCTGTGTTTTGCTCATGGCCGTCTGCCGCGCCAGCCGAGGTGATGGCCGCCAACCATGTGGGCGAATTGAGAATCAGTGAGGGGGACCAAAGTGGAAGTTCAATCCCGCCCAAGTTGTGGTTGTTGTTATTCCTGTCGCTGTTGTCGCTCTTGTCGATCTTGCTGTTGTCGTTGTTGTCGTTTGCGTTGTTGTTGTTGCTGATGCCCCAGCCGGGGTAGTTGTTGTTGCTGTTGATGGCGGCAGCGGCGCGGTCATTCATGGAGGATGCAAGAGTGTTGCCCGCAAAAAAGCCGGTGCTCACAGGCGGCAAGGCGGCCATGCTGCCAGTTTCAACCTTGAAGGCGTTGGGGAGCGAGAGAGTGCTCAGCCAGGCCGGTGCTGGGTGTTGATACGAAATAGGAAGGGGGCCGTGGCAAGCGCATGGAACTGGACCAATGGGTCAGAGGCGAAATATGCAAGGACAGGTGGATGGTAGCATGGGGTCGCGGAAGAAAGTAAAGGGGAAAAATGCCACTACCAAACTCGAAGCGTTCCGCCATCGTGGGCTGTGTGGTGGACTGATGTGGGAAGGAGGTGCCATTGGGTTGCCGTGGCCACAGCCGCAGCTTGATGGAGGTGGAATCGTGGGCGAACAAGGACGGCTGTGCCAGTTGAACCTGTTGAACCACGCCTGTCAGTTCTTGTTGATCGCGGTGCTCATGGCTGCGACTGCCAAGGTGGTCGAGATTCACACGTCATGGGACTCAGAGAATGAGCAATGTTGATGGCAGGGTCGGGAGCGGGAACGGCGGGCGGGTCTTTTGACTGACCATGGCGCGATGTCCTGTCGCATGGTCGCCCGGCCCAGCATCCCAGCATCCGACAAGCGGGGAGAGAAGCGTACGTGATGGCAACAAGCGATGGTCATGATCAGGGGGTAAAGGCTCATGTGATGTCTGGGATGCCGGGATTGCCGTGTTGCAAAGCACGGGCGACACGACCAACAGCAGTAGGAGCGATGGCGACTGTGGGGCAGCTCGCGCTGAGCGACAGGAGTGATGTCATGCAGTGGCAAGCATGCGCAACGCCTTTGTGGGGATGGGGGTGAAACCCGTAAATTGCATGTTGGGGTAGCGAGGGGTGTCCAAAGGGATGCAGGTGAACTTGCACAGCGGTAAGCGTTCATGAAGGATGATGCCCGTCAATCAGGCTGCTTCGCGTGCTAGAGTCTCCTGTGACACCGCGGTTCTTCGACGCAAAATGGGAAAAAAAGAGACTCAAGAAGCAAGCTGAGCGTCCGATGATCGCAGAACCAACACACCCACCCCGCTCTCGACGCTTCTCTACCCCGAGTCACGCCGCTCGTAGTCACACCGCTCGTGGGATGTGACAGGATGTTCTGTAGTGACGTGAATGATCAACGATCGCGTCCAGCTATCGAGAGCCATGTTGCCCATGTACACTGAAGCTGGAGGGCAAGGTCGGAGGGGATGGGACCCGTGACCCTTGGGTGCATGTCCCACCGCGTGACCTCGACTCCACTGGCTGATGAGGAAAAAAGACAGTTCCTGCAATAGGCGCGTGCTGTGATCTTGTTCCGGAGAAGTCTTCTCTGGCACCTTGATGTCCCCGCCAAACCAGGTCACCCTGAAAATGGGATGCATCTTGGGATCATGCCTTAGGACCGCAATGGGTCCTTCTGCCCTCCAGCTCATCCATCCCCTGCCAAAGCTCATCAGCCCCAGACCACGCCCGGAATGGTTGCTTCTGCCTCTTGTCCGTTTCGCATCTGAGGTGTCGACTCCCTCTTGATGCAGCGCATGCGCAATGTGTCATTGTTGTCAGCGTTTTATTGTCAGCACTTTCTCGGTAGTTTCCAATACCATCACTGGCTTCGTATCTTGATCGCGCCCGAGTCAGGAAGCCCGAGTCAGCGAGTCAGCTCCAGAGCCCGCCTCAGCCAGCGCGAGACAAGACGCTTGGTGGTGGTGTGAGGTCCCCCTTGTTTGCTGGAGAGAAGAGAACTAGAGGAGCGCTACGATCAGCATGCTGCACCTTCGAGCTGCCGGCGCCAGGATGGCGCAGCGGGGTCTGCGCAGATCCCGCATGGGCGCTCGCTCACTGACCACGGTTGAGTCTCATCGTGCTTTCGAGGGTGAAGTCCGCCGCTACCGTCATCGCTCCGACACCCTGGACTGTGACATGGGCTTTGCCTGCTTCCTACCTCCACAAGCCCTTGCTGGGCAGAAAGTCCCGGTGCGTTGCAGCCTGTTGAGCCCTTCTCTGCGTTGTGCTGCCACTGTACCATGACATCCGTGGACGGACCCGCTCGCACTCACCCGTAAACGTCTTTTCCCATGGACCGGACGGCATTAGGTCCTGTATTGGCTTTCAGGCCTAACATGCGACGACACCAACTTTATCACCAAGGCGGGTGCTCAGCGCAAGCTAGCCGAGCGCGGCATCATGGTCGTGTGCCCCGATACCAGCCCCCGTAGGCCCCTGCCACCCGAGTCGCCCCCACCCCAAACCTGGCACCCACTCCAGCCTTGAGGGCCCTGCGTAGTGTGCAGCAAATGGTAGCCACCTCCTGCACCCATCGCCCATCCGCAAGTTGACCTCATCCATGTACTCGGGGCTTGTCCGGTGCAGGTGGCTGCAACCTGCCTGGTGAGGATGATAGCTACGACTTTGGCTCAGGAGCTGGCTTTTACCTGACGGCAACGACCGAGCACTACCGGGACCACTACAAAATGGACACTTACGTCACTCAGGTCGCGCCCGCGCCTTGGGCTCTCAAGCTTGGCCGTGCTCACCCGTTGCCAACGCCATGGCGTCTCTATCGTTATAGGAGCTGCCTCAGCTAGTCGCTGAGATTCAGCCCCACAACACAAACCAAGTTGGTATTTTGGGCCACTCGATGGGTACGCACCACCTGTGTGACGCCGATGCGACCATGGACCCTTTATTAATGGCCTCTCGACCAAGGACAACCACACTAGCCACGACGCAGTGGCGCCCCCACACACATCCCTCGCATTCCAAGGCTACGCGCATGAACACATCACTTTCGGCCCTGTGCTTTGCCTGGTATAGGTGGGCTGGGTGCCTTGAACCTGTTCCTGAAAAACCGCAATCAGTACCACAGCGTCTCTGCATTTGCACCAATCTGCAACCCCACCAACTGCCCTTGGGGCCGACGTGCCTTTGAAGGCTACTTGGGTCCCGACGAAGCTGCTTGGGAGGTTTGTTGCCGTTTCAATTTTGTTTGTTTTGTTCTTATTGGTGGTGGTAGTGGTGATGGTTTTTAACGTCGGCAGTCTCGGAGGAAAAGCACCCAATCGAGGCTGCATTTGGCGTTGTGTACCAGTGTGCTTACGCTTTGACACACCGTGCATACCATGTTAGGCCTACGATCCGGTTTGCTTGCTCCGCCAGACCAATTTGGATGATTTGCCCCCCATTCTCGTCTCCCAGGTAAGGCAGGGCGTTTGATAATATGGTGGAGCTCTTGGCCCCGCTTGCCACCACATGGCCTCTTTGCCCAAGCGATTGAAGCTGATAGCCTGACTCGGCCATTGATAGGGCACAGCGGACCCGTTTCTTGAAGAGCACCTTCATGATTGGGCCTTGCCCAAGCATGCCAACATTGACGTGCGCCGTGAACCTGGCTACGACCACAGGTGCTTCCAACCCCCGTCCCTCTGGCCCCAGTCTCTTCTTGTGCTCTTTTGACTCTTTGTCTTGTTTCATGGCCGTGCCACCTTCCCGCTGCGCTGCTGCTGGCCAACAGCATTCCCACGATGAGGCTCATCCCGATACTGATGGGTGGTGGTTTAGTTATTATTTCATTTCGACATTTATCGATCAGCACATTGATCACCACTGGCGAATTCTGCAGGCTGGCGCGGCCAACCCTTAAATCGCGACGCACACCAACCCCCGTCGACACCACGTCGACAAGGTGTTGGGTCGACTCCAGACTCCAACTGGCGCAGTCAAGCCAGGGGACGAGTACTCTCGTGCATTTGCCAACGCCGAACCGAACGCCTCTAGTCGTTTTTGCGCTTGCTGCGCTTGGTTGACTTGCCTGCGCCTCCTTGGTCCCCCTTGGTCGCCGCCAGAGCCTCGGCCAAGAATGACAAATCATCAGCTCCCTCAACCGCGGCTTCAGGATCGCGCTTGCTGCGCTTGCTCTTCTAACAATGATAACCCAGTGTCATGGAAAAAAAAAAATTGTCATTGAGTCTGGAACAGACAAACGAGGCACGAAAATGGCACAACAAAGGCAGGGACTGCTCAAAGCGTGCACACACACACACACACACACACGAATGCTGGTAGCGTACCTTGTGCTTGATCGAAGATGAAGCCTCAGTAGAAGCCCCGGCCGTGTTGTCTGAAGTGGCACGCTTGCCCTTGCGTGATTCGCGTTGCTTCTTTTTGCGCGCCTGCGTCGACTCTACCAATGGCGTGCCCGTGTCCTCGTCGTCGATGATGGAGGCAAACATCTTGGCCTTGCGTGCATTAGATTCCATCATCAGTTGCCTATAGAGAGGAGAGGGGGGGGGACCAGCGACAGAGCAGTTGAGAAGAGCCGGCTGCAAGTCTCAAAACTGAGCAACACGGTACGCCCGAAGTGTCAGCACTCCAGTGCTTGATCTTACCAGTCCTCAGCGTTGCGCTTAAAAGCCGAAATCCGACAATTGCGCAGAACAAAGCGGCCTTGGGGAGAGGCCTGCAACTTATCCTCAGCACCAGCCAAGCTAGCGGCCATGCTCTGCTTGACTTTGATGGGAGCGGCATTCCATGCTGCATCAACGACGTGACTGCCAAACTTGTCGCAGGCCACGGCGACCACGTGTGCGCTCAAAGCCTTGACCAACGGCAGCTTGTCACTATCCAGCACAGCTGGGCTCTGAAGCACCGCTTGCAGAGCAAAGGAACCGGTGCGGTGCTGGGCCATGTCGGCCAACAAGGCCGCATCCCAAGAGGCCAAGCTGCGCAGCAGCGGCTGGTTGGCACGGGCAGACAATTTGGAGACGGCCTGCACCAATTCAGAGCCCATGCGATTGAAGCGCGTGCTAACGGCCAAGCCCTTGTCATCGGCCGCCAGCTCCTGCCAACGCTCGAGCGTGCTCACGCTAAGCAAGCAGGCTGCTGTATCCTGCACATTGCTCTCCCAGTCAAAATGAAATGCCGCTGCCAAGTGCTGCATCAGCTCCATTTCCTGCACGCCAACGCGTGCAGCTGCCGCCAGCATGTAGGCAATGACTGCTGTTTTGCCTTCGGCCAAAATATCCTCCAGGTTGGGTCCGAGTTCGACCAGGATGAGCTTGACGTCCTCGCGCTCAGCCACTGCTAGACAGCGTTGAAGCACAAAATTGGCCACGTTGTGCGTGGCGCGTTCAAGCAGCTCGCCTTTGAAGCAAGCCTCAAAAATGGTGTGGCGATGCTTTTCGTTGCCATACTGCAAAGCAACGTCCAAGATGCGGCTGGCCGTGCTGTTGGTGACGGCTGTGTCCAGGGGCGAATCCTCGCCAAAGCTGTGCAACAACGCTGAAATAAGCTTGTGGGCTTTCTTGCGCACCACGCGAAAGGTGGCCAGAACCAGGGCCTGCAAGCAGGCGCTGGCCGTGGTGTGATAAATGTAGTGGTTCAGAGTTTCTGCCTCCGTCTTCAGCTGAGCCACCAGGGTGGCCAGCTGCTTGCCGTAGACTGCGGGAAGCTCGTCTACAGGAAGGCCTGGCGGCTCAATGGCTGTTTCATCCAGTTGATTGAACGCCACTCGATAGCCTTGCGATGACTTGGCACGCAGCTTCTTGGGCAGCTCCATACCAGAGAGACAGCACACGTGGCTGCGGAAGACATGGCTCGCGTACGTGTCCTCCCATGTTTGCTGAAGATTCTCCATCAGATGAGCCCCGAGCTGCAGCATGATTGCACGAAAAGCCTCGTAAGCCTCCACATTCTCTTGGTGGAGCTCCTCGTCCAGCTCGCCCAGGGGGGGCGGGTGGTCGCCAGCACCATCGACGGCCTCGTCTGTTTCCTCGGGGGCCATGCGCGCGTAATCCTCAAATCCACCATCGTACTTGTGCAGGGCACCGTAGAGCGCCTGTACGACGTGACTCCCATAACGATGGTTGCAGAGTTCTAGCAGGTCCCCTTGCAGTCCCTTGGTGAGCTCGTGCACGGCGCTGGGGGCGCTTTTGGCAATGAGCTTCTCCAGAACGCGGCTGCAGTGAAGATCACAGGCCAGCCGTTTCTCTTTGCCCTTGATCTCCTCAACTACGTTGGTCAGAAAGAGTTGAAGCTGTTCGGTGGAGGGAAAGTCATTCGCATCCAGCATGCCCTCCACACGCTGAAAGTACTGCAGCATCTCCTGCCGCGTCTCATCCACAACCGCGTCGGCCATCGTTGCTGGTTCTTGACAAGTCTTGATGGCACGGCCTTGGGTCGGCTGGTGAGGCGGATCACGATACAACACCACGAGCGTATCCTCAGGCGTGAGTTCTCAACCCCAGCCAACGTTCTATCAGCCAGCGCTTACAGCACAACACTCGTCCACCACACGTCTCCTGCCTGACAATACCGTCTGATCAAGCAGAGAACGAGAGAATGAGAGAGAACGTGTCTGTGCGTCTGTGTGCCTGTGTGTGTGTGAGGGAGAGAGAGAGAGAGTGTGTGTGTGTGTGCGTGTGTGTGTGTGTGTGTGTGTGTGTGTGTGTGTGTGGAGCATGTGGCGAACATGTGGGCATGTAATTGTCAGACTTTTCTTGCCATTCACACACACACACACACATACACTTGCTTTCTCGCTTTCTCTCTCAGCTCAGCTGGCTGGCGAAGGGCAGCGTTTTGATCAGCGCGCTTGTGGGTATTGCGAAGAGAGAGGGGAGGAGTGCAGGCAACATGGCGGCAAAGGCGACAAAGGTTCAGGTAAGAATGGGTTGGCCTCGAGCTTTGAATTGCAACTGCGAGCAGATGCACGTTCACTTCATCATCTGGCTAGTTTGAGGTCTTGCACCGGTCGGGACGTGCGCGAGTTGGCAAGCTCCTGTTTGAAAACGAGAGCATTCCGACGCCCTGCTGTCTGCTCCACACCGAAGGCGGTACGCTCCCCTTTTGGTTAAACCAAATTGTCGGTCTGCCTTGCATCTGAATTCTCAGGAAAACTCCAATCGCAAACAGGCGCCCTGCAGCACCTCCAACCTGACCTCATTGCACAACTGGAGAACGGGCCAATTCAGACGACTGTGTCACAAATGTTCGTTCGTTGGCCTCGACTGTGCTGCTGCTGCTGCTGCCATTCCACCATTCCAATGCTAAACCCCTCTCCATACTCAATGCCCATGATAGTTTCCCAGATCCCTTCAAAGCTTTGCAATCAGCCACCGACTTGAGCTATCGACGCTTTGCTCAACTCCCGGTACCAATGTGCACGCTTGGCCACCGGACCGGCAGTGCCCTGTGTGTGTGTGTGTGTGTGTGTGTGTGTGTGTGTGTGTGTGTGTGTGTGTGTGTGTGTGTGTGTGTGTGTGTGTGTGTGAGCGACCTACCTCACACCCGATGGCTTCAATACGGATACTGGCACTTCCATTTGGAATCAGTCGGGCCGTGTGCAGGTGAGCTTGCTTGCCCTGTCCTGCTCGCGTAAAGTATGATTTGTGCATGCGAATCTAGCTTGACTTGATGACCATGCTCATCATGCGGCGTAGATCACACCAGACGTCCTGCTTCGCGTTCTCGAGCGATGCCAGCCCGATCTGGCCTTGGCCCTGTGCGACAGCCAGTCTGCCCATGCGAGTGAAAAGCGTCAATTGTATGTATCATACACTCATGCAATTTTGGCTGCAGATATATCGCCGTTGACACTCACCCAAAATCTCCTCCTTTGGGGAATGCATGTTTTGATGCTTAGGCGTGCCGTTGAACGCACCAAAGGCTGGGTCGACACCATCATGGCTGGTGGTGTGCCTGCCGCCACGGCCATGCTACTGCCAATAATCGGTGGCAGTTCGCAGCGCGCGCGCACTGCCTGCACCGAGCACATGGTGGCCCTTGCGCCCCAAGTCGCCGGTCGGTTGCGACCAGCAATGTTAATGCCGCACCGCTTCTCGAAAGCCCCAGCTCGCTCATCTGTTGTCAACCCTTGTTCAACCAGGCTTTTACATTGATAGTCCATTTGCGGGTCAAAGTCCTGATGCTGCTTCCGAAATACTACATGCTTGCTGCGTACGTTGCGTTTCGAACATCGCCACACGCGCTCACGCTGTTGTCGGCGTGCACCCAGCTCATTTGTGCACACAATCGGCCCAGGATGCATTACCAGACGACAAGCTGCGCGTGATCAACGCCACCGCTACCTTCGGTTCGCCCTGGTGCCACCCGCGATGCAATGCCATTTTCTCATTCACCTCACCCACCTCGGGCCTGGGCTGGTTTGCAATCTAGACCAACTTTTGGCCGCCATCGAGGCCGGTGTTGATCTTCTAGATGGCCAGCTTGCAGTTCAAGCAGCCGAGGATGGAATTGCTCTTCACTGCGGTTTGTGCGACCGCCTGCCATGGCTTGGTATTTTCTCCAGCTTACCCGTCTTTCCACCTCTCCATACCCCAACAGGCCCTGATGGACCGCCAGGCACTTTGTCTTTGTGGGCCGCACACAACAAGGTTTGTTGTATGCAGCACACAAAGGAAGGAGCGCCGCCACCTTTTGCAAGACGACCAATACATCACAATCTGTTGTTTATCTAGGATGACATGGCTCCGCTCGTGGCGGGCTGTGAGTGCTATGCTTGCCGCAATTTCGGCCGCGCCTACATTCACCACCTCCATGTGACTCACGAAATGCTTGCGTCAATCCTGCTGACCTTGTACGTATGCGTTGGTCTGCTTTGTCCTAGCCCTGTCCCCGATGCCTGGCGTGTGAATAGAGATGCTTGTGACGTCGTGGTTGGTCGGATGTTGCTACTGCTCATTTTCCTGTGCGCGCCATGTCTTGCTCTTGTGTGGCGCCTGCACAACAGGCACAACCACTTCCAGCTTCAAACCTTGATGGCACATGCGCGTGATGCGATTCGGCGTGGAGACTTGTCCGCTTGGATCGCCAAGCTCCGTGGATCAAACCAACATTAATCAGGGCATTCTCTTTTGACCGAATATGGTGACAGCAATCCACCACCAAGTCACAAATACAATGTCAATGTTGTTATGCTTTTGAACGCATGAGATTGGGGTTGTGGCACAGCCTCAATTAAGGACGGGTCAAGCCCGCCTTCTCCTCTGGTTTGGTCAACGCAGAGGCGTGAAGAAAGGAGGGGGGAGAATCGCACTTGCCGTCATGTGTTTGACAAAAAGAGCGAACCAGGGTACGACTTGGAAAGCAGAACAACGAACAGGGGGAAAAGCCGCATGGAAGGAAAGTGTTGTGTGGAAGTGTTCGATGTGAAATGCGGGAATTTAAAGGGTGCTGACGAACAACACAGTTGCATCATATTGAAAGTTGGATAGCTCATGAAGACAAAGAACATCGAAAGACTCGGGGCAAAGTAGCGCAAAGGGCGCAACAGCAGAAACAGACAGGTCAATCAAGAGAAGTAAAACTACGATATCAAGCGAAAGAGAACGCGAGATGCGTCAAAGCCAGAACAGGCTTGTGGCGGTAGCAGCATCACGGATGCCTTGAATCAGCTTAGGCCGCCGGCTGCAAAGGTGTCAGGGCAGCCTTCGCAGCTGGGTACTTGGCATAGTATTCATCCTGAGTCATGTATTCAGCCGTGATTTGACGGCCATCGAAAAAACGGCCATTCATCACAGAGCTAGCGTGCGCAGCCGAGCGCGTGTCGGAGAATTTGAGGTAGATGTCGCCCTGCGAGGTCTTGTCCACTACGATGTGGAAAACGGGTCCACTCTTGGTACACTCCTCCAAGACCTCCTCGGCCATGTCCTTGTCCCAGTTTGCCTCGGTTTCCCTGAGAACACAGACGCATAACATCAGGACAATATAAGCCAAGTCGGGCCGCCACATAAACAAACGTAAAATGGGTTAGCACCCAAAGTACATACTTGGCTGGATCAAACATGTGGTGGAGAACGAGGAAGGGTGACTCTGGTTTGGGAGGCTTGGCGCCTGGCATGCCTGGCACAGCCATGTCTAGAAAAGAAGAAGAGCGTGAGAAGAACATGACAAGTGAACACTTGGAAACACGCATATGAAGAAGGTTTGGGTAACATGGAGGCCAGTTGCAACCAAGTGCAGACGAGGCTGGAATGCCGACCCGAATTTGATGTTGGCCAGGTCTTCTGACCATCTCGACCACTGGGAAACACCAACTGTATTGGCGAGACCCGATCGGACGGCAAACGATATACTGGCCGAATGTGACGTGTCACATGCTGGATAGCAAGACGAGTCAACACCAAACAAAACTTTTGGGAAAATACAAACGGCCACACGAAGGGGAAAACATACTAGCGCGTGAAGCCAGGCGATGCATTAAAGCAACACGTGAGGTGCCGTTGAGGCGCAGTCCGCCGCGCTCCGTATCGTCGGTATCGGTTTGTGCGTTGTTGGGGTTGGCGCCGGGCATCATAGGCGCAGGCATGCCACCAGGAACCATGCCCGGCATCATACCAGGCATGGGCCCACCTCGACCCATATGGGGCATCCCAGGCATGCCCCCGGGCATACCACCGGGCATACCGGGCATGTTGCCGGCCATGGGCGGCACACCACCGGCCATCGGGGGCATGTTTGCGCCCAAGGCCGGTGCTCCACTGGCCATCCCGGTCTGTGCCGCCAGTGTGGCTCTGAGGGTATTGCCGAGGAAAGTCATTTCATTGAGGCCGTCAAGCGCCAGGTTGGCCTCATTGGGCTCATCGTATCGCACAAACGCCTCGCCCTTTGGTTGGCCTTCTTCATCGCGCACGAGCTTGCACTCGCGTACACGACCAAAGACCTTGACGAGCTCGCGCAGCGTCTCGTCATCCGTGACTTGCTCTGATAAGTTGGTGATGTGCAGTCGGGTCATGGCTTCACGCTCAAGGCGTGCCTTCTCGGCGGCCTGGCGATTCTTTTGCGCTTGCGTAAGCATGATGACAATGGGGGCGTGATTGAGACGCTGGCCGTTGAGAGTCAGCGCGGTGGGCACTGATTCGGGTTCAAGAAACTCGGCGTATGCCACGCCCTTTCCGCGCCCGGTGTTACGATCCCGCACCATGCTTACTGAGCGAACCTAGGGAAAAAAAAAGTCACACGACATGAGGCATCATCACGCAAAAAGAGCGAATAAGCTCGGTGTTGACATGCATGTCGAGATGAAAGAGCATTGAAACATGCACGTGGCGAGCTGATACGCACCTTGCCGGCATTTTGCTCGAGAAAATCAAAAAGATCAGCTTCGGTCGTTTTGCGCGAGAGTTGAGAGCAAATGACTGTGCGCTCGTCACGCTCCTCCTCGCTGAGGCGCGGGCCTGGTGCAGGACGGGGAGGGCTCGGCGAGCGGCGACGGCTACCACGACGGCGATCATAGTCGTCATCGCGGTAATGACGGTGGCGACGACGGTCATCACGGTAACGGTCATCACGATAACGATCATCACGGTAACGATCATCACGGTAACGATCATCGTAACGGTCATCGCGGTAGCGTCCACGGTCACGGTCATCGTGGCGATCTCGACTGCGGGAACGATGGTGGACATCACGGTCACGAGAGCGAGAGCGGCGGCGCTCATCTTCGCGACCGCGAGAGCGAGCGCGAGGATAGTCGCTGTCGCGATCTCGGCTGCTGCGCTCTCGTGGGGCTTCATCGCGATCTCGGCTGCTGCGTTGCTCTTCCTGGCGGGGTCCATCAGTCGGTGGTGCCGCCGGACCTTCAGGCTGTTTGTCACGGCCATTCTATTGATTATGCACATGTGCAGACAAACGCGAGTCAAAAAAATGGTGGGTGAGCAAAGCACCTCGATGACCATGCTCTCGTCAGTATGTCAAAGTGGCGATGGTCAACCACCGCCCACTCAGACCCAGATGGAAGAAAACGCGGTGATGACACACAATGGTATTGTGGGCATGTTTCAGACAACAATCACTCCAAGCACAACAGCACGAGGTGGAGCCGTACCCGTCAGAGGAGATCCCCCTGAGCTTCGAGGCACGTATGCCTAAGATGATAACACATGCATATTATTCTGATTCAACCACAACTGGCGAGGCCAAGACTGGACAAGCGCACAAATCACAAAGAGACGGCCAAACATGAAAGAACACCCCCAAGAAACACGTGTGGAAGAAGTTACTTCCACTGCGTGGAACCAAGGACTCATCCTCCCAAAACTAATGCACGGAAGAGATGACCAGAAGGCAAAAGGACGTTTACAAATCATCTTCCGGGAGCCAGCCAGGAGTGGAGTGGTTTGCAACAGAGCAGAGCAGGGCAGATGGTGAAGACTTACGGCAGGCATGGGTTTGCCATGGAAGTCGGCATCGAGCATGGCTTCCACTGAATCAAGGTCAGCCATGGCAGTGGTGTAGGTGTTGAGAAGACAAGGCCGAGGTTTGATGGTATATTGGTTCCGCTATCGGACCAGCAAGTGCACGGCAACTGAGCCCAATCAGAGAGGTACGAGGCTCACAGCCAGCGCTGCCCCTTATGCTTCTTCTTAAAAGTTCAATGACACTGCTCAGGCCACTGGCTTGAGTTTTTGGTGAAAATGAAGAACCCGAAGGAAACGTCGTGCAACGTGTTCAACATGTGTGTGTGTGTGTGTGTGTGTGTGTGTGTGTGTGTGTGTGTGTGGCGGGAAACGAGCCGTGTGAAAATATGTATTGGTTCAACGGTGTTTTTGGAGCAAAAACTATTGTGGTTGCAGGCTGCAGCTTCTAGCATGCTGCTTGCTTTGGCTGACATTGTGGCCGTTAATGTTGTCTGACAAACTCGGAATGGCGGGTCAAAAGCGAAGCATCGATTCGGATCGCTGACGGGTGCGCGGCACCGAGAAGAGGGGGAGGGAGGGGGAGGGAGGCAGCAGAAGCAGGGGACCTATTGTCTCGGCGCTCAGCGCCACTAGGCACCTTTGCAGCCCAGCATCATGTTTGCATCAACCCTGCATGTCTATGTGGTGGCATGCGCGCGTGCATGTCTGCGTGTGTCTGCACGGGTGCGCGTCTAGAAAAAGCGTTGCCTGCATCGGAGGCTCACAAGGCCTTTTTGGCTTGGGCTTGAGCCTCGTGCTGATTGGCGTTGGATGGCGGTGAGCGGCGCAGATACGAGAAGATGTCGTCGACCACATTGACCAGGACGGCCAATATCAGCAGGATCGCCAGGACCAGCCACTCGATGACCACCATTCTGACTGGTGCGAAGTGAGGTCTTGGCAAAATGATCGATTGTCATTCTTCAATCTAACATTATTTATTTCCAAGGGGCATGTCTGTTCTTGCTGCCCAAAGAGCTGAGGAGTGTGAGTGGGGTAATGTAGGTGGCGAAGTGGGGAATCATGTGACATCTCCTGACAGTGAAGACGATCATATCTATACAATGACCCCATCTCGGGGGTCTATTTATATTATCCGTGTCCGACGCTGGCCAAGTGGCATTACCAAATGGCCTTGACCTGAGTAGGAGATGTCACAGGGTTGACCAACAACCTACCACCCCCTTGGATCACGCCTTTGTGGCAGGTGCACCATAACACCATTAGCACCATAATAAATCACAACATGTTGTGTGTGTCTTTCTTCTTCTCCCTCCTCTCCCTCTTTCCTGTCCCCTTCTCACGTCTTCCTGAGTAAGAAATAAGACGAGTCAAGCGCCCTCCCCCAAGACCACGCCCTCGACCTTCAACCCTTACGCGACTTGCAACTGTTTTCTTCGTTTGAAAGCCTCAAGAACAAAAGAAAAGTGCAGCACGCCACCCAAGAATGCTAACACCGTCTCTCTCTCTCTCTCTCTCTCTCTCTCTCTCTCTCTCTCTCTCTCTCTCTCTCTCTCGTGTCGTCGGACGGACGGCGTTATTTTCCCCTCGAGCGCGAGGTTGCATTGGGTTGGACGCCCGGCTCAGGACCGAACAAGTATCGGGACTGGGTAGCAGACATCACACATCTCTCAATCAAGTCTGCCAACCGCTGCCTTTGTGGTGGTGAGGTTGGTGTGCGCCGCTGCCTGAGCTGCGCCGCCTCTTGCCTTTTCTTTGACGTGCCTTGCTGCTGGTATGTGTCGATGCAAGTCTTGACATCCCCCCCTCCTCTTCCTCTCTCGCTGCCCATCAGCACGGTCCCGGTCACTGGCTTGACTTGACGCCACCGTGACATGCCGGCCTTTTTGATTCGAGTCCGCCACTTGTGTTCTCACACACCCTGAATGCCCGCCGCCCCCACCCTTGGTCTTGCAGAGGGGTTGCCATCCGTGAATGCCAACATGGCCCGGTCTGCCGTTTGGGCCGCGCTGGCCCTCGTGCTGACGGCGGCTGTGGTCTTGGCCACCGAAGTCGAGGTGTCCGTGAGCGATGCCCGCCTTGGCGCCCTACATACCGCGTCCTTCGAGGACCTGCCCTTTGTGCGCTCGTCCCCCTACTTGGAATCTTTCTTTGGCGCCACGCGCTTCCAGGAATTTTTCCGCGACAGCTTCCGCCAGAAGCAGTTTCGCCTCAACACACGGAATGAATCTCGCGTTCAAGCCGCTTTTGGCGAAGGCCTCATGCCTCAGGAGCTGGTTGCCAACCCCCGCGAGTTGACCAAGCAACTCTTCAACTCGTTTAGCGCAACCACCAATCCCAACGCGGTCTCAGCCCAATCCAAGACGGGTGATAAGCTTCCCCGCCCCACTCAGGACACTGACGTAGACTCTGTCCTCGACAACGGTGGTAGCTTTGTCTTTCGTTTTGAACACCTCGAGACCCATGCCTCCCTGCCCCTGGTCGATGCCCTTCAGGGCTTGCTGTTGACCACCGTGACACCCCACGTCTACGCCTCGGGCATGGAAGCCCAAGCGCTCAAGCCTCACACGGACGAGTACGATGTTGTCGTCGTCCACATGGCTGGTCGCAAGGTTTGGCACACTTGCATCCCCCGCGTCAACGCTAGCTCCGAAGTCACCACAGACGCCCAGCGTGCCGAGCTCAACGAGATGGTTCGCGAGAACGTTCAAGGTACGCCCATCCCCGTTCGGCGCCCGTGTCTTTGTAACTCCAACCACCCCATGTTCTTCTTCTCCCACTCCCCTTTTCTCTCCCATCACAAAGTTCACCTGCGTTTTGGCGAAGCCCTGTTTGCCGCTCACGAGATACATTGCTTGCTTGCACTTGCCTCCACACCCAGGTTGCTCTTCATTCACCAAGGCCGACCTCGAGCGCATGGACTGCACCGAGTTTGTCATGTCACCCGGCGACGTCTTGTACATGCCCAAGGGTGTGGTTCATTATGCCGAAACCAAGGGCTCCGATTTGGCCGTCCACATGACACTCGGCCTCTTGCAAGATTCTCACACCTGGCAAGATGTCCTCCAGTATGCCTGCGCGCTCGCCAACCTCAGCGATTGCCGCGTTCTCGACCAGACCTTTGAGGCCATCTTCAAGAATCAGGACGGCGTCGCCTGGCGTGATTTGATTCCCTTTTGGAGGGACAACAGCGATTATGGCACCACGGGCAAGGATGTCAGCGAAACCTTTGTGGCCGCCAGCGTGGCTCATATTCAGCAACTCCTTGATGCCAGCCGTGAAAAGGGCCTTTTGGCTTCTGTGCGCGACGCCCTGGCCCAACAACCCAGCTACGCCTCCTCCTCTCAGCGCCTGGCTGACTTTGAGCGCCTCGTCGCTTTCCTTGCCGACTCCACCCAGATTGCCCAAGTGGTCGAAGCCATTGCCGCTGCCGGTGACGGTGACGAAAACGACGCTGAAGGCCTCGACCGTCTCAAGCGTCTGCGTCGCAGCACCTCATACTACCAGTCCTGCTCGGGCTGCTACTGCTCGGGCTGCGACCGCGACTCGAGCTGTGATTGCAGCTGCTCCTACTATGGTTGGGGCTGGCTCTGGTACTGGAGCTCATACTCGTGTGACGGCTGCTGCGATTCCTCCTCAAATTGCGATGGTGGATGTCGTTGCTACTCGGGCTATGCTGGTAACGCCTACAGCGGTCGCTGCACGCGTTGCTCCTCGGGCACCTACGCCTCGGGTTCCAGCTGCCGTTCTTGCCCTTCGGGCAAGTACAGCACCGGCAGCGCCAACTCAGCCTGCCGCACCTGCTCGGCTGGAAAGTACATGCCCTACACGGGCCGTTCCTACTGCTACACCTGCCCTTCGGGCAAGTACCAGCCCTACTCGGGTCGTACCTCCTGTTACACCGTTCCCAGCGGCTACTACGTGAGCAACAACCGCGTATACCGCTGCCAGCCAGGCTACTACTGCACTAGGGGCTACCGCTACAGCTGCCGACCAGGCACCTACCAGCCCTACTCTGGCCGTACCTCTTGCTACTCATGCCCTAGCAACAGCTACCAGCCCTCGTATGGTGCCACCCGCTGCAACAGCTGCTCGTCTGGCTACTACTCCTCCGGCTCGTCCATTTTGGCATGTCCCCGTGGCTACTACTGCACCGGGTGCCGCCGCTACGCCTGTACCGCGGGCAAGTACCAGAGTCAGACCGGCAAGAACTACTGCAACTCGTGCCCCACCGGCACCTATTCGTCCTCGGGCTGGTCCAGCTGCTCTTCTTGCTCCCCGGGCACCTATCAAAACCAATACGCCCAGTCCAGCTGCAAAGCCTGCAGCTCGTCCCAGTATCAAAATTTGTACCGTCAAACGAGCTGCAAGTCGTGCAGCACTGGCTATTACCGCCGTACTTCGTCCTCCCAAGCCTATTGTCCTGCTGGCTCCCGTTGCCCCGGTAGCTGCTCCCGCTATACCTGCAGCCCAGGTACCTATTCTCTTGCCGGTGCTACTTCCTGTTCGTCGTGTCCCTCGGGTCAGTATCAAGATCAGTACGGCCAGTCGAGCTGCAAGCCCTGCCCCTCCAACCAGTATACCAGCTCGACGGGCTCCACTCGTTGCACCACCTGCACTCCGGGCAAGTACCGCAGCTCCTCCTCCACGCTGGCCACCTGCTCTTCGGGCTACTACTGCCCCCACTCCAACTGCATTCGCTACGCCTGCCCTGCTGGAAAGTACCAGAACCAAGCCGGTCAGACCAACTGCAAGACCTGCCCCTCCAGTCAATACCAGAACCAGCTGGGTCAGACCGGGTGCCGCTCCTGCTCCACCGGCTACTACTCGCCCGATCGTACTCGCCAGGTGCGATGCCCCACCGGTAGCTCGTGCAACTCCTGCTCGGCTTCCACTTGCGCTGCCGGTACCTATCAGGACCAAGCGGGCCAGACCAGCTGCAAGTCTTGCCCCACCGGCAAGTATGCCCCGGGCCGTGGCTACTCCACCTGCCAACCCTGTGCCGCTGGGACTTATCAGGACCAACGGGGACAAACCAGCTGCAAGGTCTGCACCGGTGGTGTGACCTCGACTGCCGGCGCCTCGTCGTGCTCCGCGTGTAGCCCGGGCGTCTACCGCACCTCCTCCACCTCCACTGCCACCTGTACCCGAGGCTCTTATTGCCCTGGTGACTGCACCCGCACGTCCTGCCCGCCCGGTACCTACACGAGTGGTACTGGACAAAGTGCTTGCACATCCTGTCCCTCCGGCAAATACGCGACTGGCTATGCCAACACAGGCTGCACCTCGTACAGCGCCGTGTGTGCGGCTGGCTACTTCCAATCGAGGGCACCCACCTCGTCCTCGGACCGGGTCTGCAGCCCTTGCGACGGCGTCAACAACTACCAGGATCTGTCCGGCCAGACGAGCTGCAAGGTCCTGACCAGGTGTACTTCCACCCAGTATCAGGCGGTGGCCCCCACAGCCAAGTCGAATCGCCAGTGCGCCACCTGTCTTGTTGCGCGTGACTGTGCGGCCAATGAATATCTCACTGGAACTTGCAATGGTGGTACCTCACGAACCTCCTGCAAGGTTTGCGATGGTTCATGTGCCACTTGCTCGGGTCCTTCTTCAAGTGAATGTCTCACTTGCCCCGGTGCTTACGTGCTGAACGCCAACAAGCAGTGCGTCAACCCGTGCCCTGCTGGTACCTACGGCACGTCTGGCAACTGCAAGAACTGTGACTCGACCTGTGCGACCTGTGAGGCCGCTGGCAGCAACGCGTGCACTTCATGCACTGCCCCTCGCACCCTCAACGCGGCCACTCGGCAGTGCATCTCCAACTGCCCGTCCGGCCAATTCCACCACCTGCAGCGAGATGAGTGTGTCAAGTGTGACACATGTGACACCTCTGAATATCGCTCTAGCGACTGCACGGCCACCTCGGATGCCGTCTGCACCGCGCTTTCCACCTGTGCTCCAGGCACCCGGATTTCCCGTGATGCGACCGCGACCCAGAATCGCCTCTGCTCACCCTGCTCCAGCGGTTTCACATCGGCAAGCAACAGTGATGAATGCGCTCCTTGGACCGTGTGCTCCCCCGGTGAGTACGTGACGAAGCAGGAGACGTCGTCCACCGACCGCACTTGTGGCACCTGCGCTGCCGGCAAGTACACCGATGGTCAAAACGCTGTGCAGTGCTCGCAATGCCCTGCTGGTACTTACCAAGGTAGCAAGGGTGCCGCCATCTGCACCGAGTGTGGTGCGGGCATGTACTCGAGCGCTGGCTCCACCTCGTGCACGGCCATCCCGGCTGGATCGTACGGCACTGGTGGCACCAGCAGCACCCGCACGGGCATCAGCCCCTGTCCGGTCGGCTACGCTTGCCCCGGCGGTGACTACCAACCCCAAGAATGCTCCAGCATCAGCCAGTACCAGGATCAGTCTGGCCGTGCCACTTGCAAGTCGGCATCGGACTGCAGCCTGGGTGAGTACGCGAGCAATGACCCCACGACCACCACAGATCGCCGGTGCACGGCCTGTCCGGCCAACACCTTCCAGGATGATCCTGAGCACGTGGATGAGGCGTGCGAGCCTGTGACCGTGTGCAAACCTGGCGAGTTTGTGGACACCGCTGCGACCAAGACCTCGGACACGGTCTGCTCGGCCTGCCCCAATGAGAACTCGTATGCCAACGCCGACACCAACAAGTGCGAGCTCTTGACGGAGTGCGCCCCCGGCACATATGTGGCCAAGGCCGCCACTTCCTCCTCCGACCGCACTTGCACGACCTGCCCCACCAACACCTTCACGGACAAGCCCAATCTCTCCAAGTGTTTGTCCGTGCAAAGTTGTTCCCCAGGCAGTGGCCCCCACCCGCACCAGCGACCGCGCCTGCGCGACTTGCGCCGCTGGCTCCTTCCAAAACAACGTGGACCATGAAGAGGCGGCCTGTTCGGCTTGGCGTGACTGTGGGGCCGGTAGCTACGTGTCCACGCCCGGCACTTTGACCAGCGATCGCCAATGCAGCGCCTGCAGCTCTGACCAGTATCAGGACCAGAGCAACCAGGCCGCGTGCAAAGATGTACCGGAAGGATATTACCGCGTGTCCGCCAAGGAGATTGCCCAGTGTGATGTGGGATACCGGTGCACTGGTGGCCAGGCGATGCGCTGCGTCACGGGTGATACCTACCAGGATCAGCAAGGCCAGTCGGTGTGCAAGAACGTGACCCACTGCTCCTACGGTACCTACGCTTCGCAGCTGCCCACCGAGATCCGCGACGCCATCTGCACCACTTGCCCCGCCGGCTTCTTCAACGACGACATTGACCATTTCGATACGGCGTGCTCGAAGATGCGTGACTGTGTGGCTGGCCAGTATGTCCTTGCGGCTGGTACCTCTTCCACCGATCGAAGCTGCGAAGGCTGTGATCCGGACGATACTTCGAGTGCCCGTGAAGCCGGTTTTTCCAACACCACCAACTCGGCAAGCTGTACGCCCCTTAGCCTCTGTCCCGCCGGCAAGGCCGTCAACAGCGCCGGCTCTGCCACTGCAGATCGCACGTGTACCGCTTGCTCTCCGGGCAACTCGTATATGGCCACGGATCAGCACTCGGAAACCGAGTGCGTGCCCGTCTCGGCCCCTTGTGATGTCGGCATGTATGAATCGAAGAATGCCACCTTGACATCGGACCGCGAGTGCACGGCCTGCGCCACTGGCACTTTCCAGGACGTTAGCGACCAAGCATCGTGCAAACCCTGGTCTGACTGCCCTGTGGGTTCGTACATCGAGAATGACGGCACCAAAACCTCGGATCGCGTGTGCCAGACGTGCGACGGCGTGACCAACTACGGTGATGTGAAGAACCTCCAGCAGTGCAAGGCCATGAGTGTTTGCCCTGTTGGCACTCAGTACATCAAGGTGGAGGGCACCCCAACCACTGACCTCGAGTGCGCGACCTGTCTGCACGAGAGCGACTGTGCTGATGGCGAGTACCTTGCTGGCCAATGCAAGCACCTGAACGCACCATACTGTGCCGATTGCCATCCCAAGTGCGAAACGTGCTCGGGCCCCCTGGACACGGAGTGCAAGAGCTGCCCCGAGGGCACTCACCTCGAGCACGGACAGTGCGTCACCGAGTGTTCGTACGGCAAGTACAGTGCTGGCGGCACGTGCACGGACTGCGATGACAGCTGTGCCGACTGCGACGGTCTGGGGTACCGCTGCACGGACTGCGCGGCCCCCAAGGTCTTGGACGTGTCCACGCAGACGTGCAAGGACACGTGTCCCGCTAGGTTTTACGTCAACCGAACCTCGCGTGTTTGTGTCAACTGCGAGCCCTGCGGTGAAGACGAATTCACAACGACCCAGTGCACACACTCATCCAACCGCCAGTGCACTGTCATGTCCACCTGCCCCGTCGGCACTTACATCTCAGTCGGCGGTACCGAGTCTAATGACCGTGAGTGCGAAGCGTGCTCTTCGTCAACCCAGTACCAGGACCAGGTGAACCGTAACTCGTGCAAGACGCTGCGCAACTGTGATGTCGGTCACTACGTTACCGTGGCCGGTACCGTCAGCTCTCAGCGCGAGTGCGGCGTGTGCGCGCCCGGTACTTACAGCGGCTCCTCGAACAGCGCCGTGTGCGAGCCCTGTGCCAAGGGATACGGTCAGCCCGAACACGGTCAGAGCTCATGCACCGAGTGCGGTGTCGGCGCCTTCCAGAACCAGACTGGCCAGGCGACCTGCATGAAAATCCCGTCATCGTACTTTGGCGTCGGCGGTGGCCCTCGAACGCGCACTGATATCCAGTACTGTGAACCTGGCTACGGTTGCCCCGGTGGTACCACGACTCGTATCATGTGCGACGGCATCAGTACTTACCAAGATCAAGCCGGTCAAGTCTCCTGCAAGACGGTCACACTCTGCCAGGCTGGCGAGTTTGCCTCAGTGCAAGCCACGCGAACGAGCGACCGCGTTTGCAGCGCGTGCGCCCCCGGCTTTTACATGGACCGCTATGCCCACACGGAAACCAAGTGCAAGCCGCACACGGTGTGCCAACCAGGCACCTTCACTGCTGCTCCCGGCACCAACTACACGGACACCATCTGCGCTGCTTGCGATGGCCAGACGGGTTATTCGGATGAAGCTGGTTTGGGTGACTGCAAGCCCATCTCAAGCTGTGAGCCTGGCGAGTACGTTTCCCGCACGCCCTCGTCAACGCGCCCTCGCCAATGCACCGACTGTGACACGGGCAAGTACAGTGCCACGGTCAACGCAGCCGATTGCGTGGCGGTGACCGACTGCATGCCCGGCACTCGCATCTTGGCTGAGGCCACTCTGGCTCGGGACCGCGTTTGCACCAACTGCATCTCGGGCTCATCCTACTCAAACACGAAGAACGCAGAAGAATGCACAGCTGCTACCCTCTGTGCGTCGGGCGAGATTCAAAGTGTGGCCGCCACGTTGACCTCGGATCGATCCTGCTCAGGCTGCCCCGTGGGCAGCTTCAGCGGTAATGCCAACAACCAGGACACGCAATGCCAGCCCTGGAAACATTGTGCCGCGGGTACTTATGAGCACGCTGCGGGTACGTCAAGCTCAGACCGTGTTTGCTCCAAGTGCCCCAGCCATCAGTTCCAGGACGAGGCCAATCAGCAGAGTTGCAAGGACTGCAGCGAGGGTTACTACGCTGTGTCCGCGGCCGAGCAGAAGATTTGCCCGGCCGGCAGCGCCTGCGATTCGTGTGAGCGCTCCGCCTGCAGTCTTCGTGAGTCGTTCACGTCAGAGCAGGGCACGACGGCTTGCGTTCCCGTTATCCCCTGCACGGTGGGCCAGCGCATTGTGAGCATGCCCACTCTCACCTCACAGGCGCAGTGCACGGCTTGCGACGATGGCACCTACAATGACGATGCTTCCAACTTTGACCTCACATGCAAGCCTCACTCGGTGTGCGTGCCTGGTGAGTACGTGTCCGAGGTCGCCACCGCAACCTCGGACCGCGAGTGTGATGCCTGCTCTGGTGGCTTTAGCGCTGTAAACAATGCGGCCTCGTGCACGGACTTCCGCACCTGCGGCAAGGGCGAAGTGGAGATTTCTGAGCCCACGCGCACCACGGATCGCCAGTGCTCCTCGTGCGAGCTCGGCGTTACCTACATGGATGATGTGGATCACACACGCGATACGTGTGTGCCCGTTTCTCCCCCTTGCGCGCCGGGTGAGTACCAGTTTAGCGCACCGACCATCAGCAGTGACCGCGTGTGCCTGAACTGCCCCACCGGCAAGTACACCGATAGCTCGGACCAGTCTAGCTGCGCCGCCAACGTGGTCTGCCCCATCGGAAGCGTTTACGCGACCGCAGCCACGCGCACTCAGCGAGGCACTTGCCGCTCGTGTGACGGTGAAACGCACTACTCGGACGAGGGCAACGCCACGGCCTGCAAGCAAACAACGGTCTGTCCGTCGGGCTCTTACGTGGTTGTCGAGGCTACTGCGTCCTCGGACCGCCAGTGCGAGGTCTGCCTCACGGCCGACGACTGCGCTACCTCGCAATTCTTGAGCGGCCAGTGCCGATCCGAGGCCCCTCCCACTTGCGTTGCCTGCCATGCCTCATGCGCCACTTGCGATGGCCCCGCCGCCACCGACTGCCTCACATGCCCCGAGTCGACCAACTTTGACAATGGCGAGTGTGTGAGCAGCTGTGATGACGGTGACTATGAGGACACGACTCAGCAATGCCGCAGCTGTGACGCCTCCTGCGCCACCTGCGATGGCCCTGGCCCCAACAACTGCCTCAGCTGCCCGGCAGATACTCACCTCGATCTCAATGCCAAGCGCTGCGTCGACGCATGCACCTCGGGCTTTTACAAGGATGCCACCACCAAGTCGTGCGTGCAGTGCACGAGCTGCGGTACCGGCGCGTATGCGTCGGCCGCCTGCACTGCCACCTCAGATGCCTCTTGTACCCCTTGGTCCACCTGCACTGCGGGTCAGTATGTCACTGGCAACCCGGATAGCGTGCAGGACCGAACTTGCGCCAATTGCGATGGCACCACTCGTTACCAAGATCAGATCAACCAGGCCTCGTGCAAGGTTCCGACCTCGTGCGACCCGGGTCACAGCGTGTCGGCTGACGTCACCACGACCACTGACCGCGAATGCCAGATCTGCGCCGCGGGCTCGTACGCAGATGCGGCCAACGCGGAGTCTTGTGCCCCTTGCCCAGCCGGCCATGTGCAGCCGGAGCAGGGTCAATCTACCTGCCGCAACTGCGGCCCGGGTACGTACCAGGCCCAGACCGGCCAGACGTCGTGTGTGACCATCCCCGCTGGAAGCTACGGAATCGGTGGCACCGTGGCCACCCGCACGGGCAGTGCCGTTTGTGCCAAGGGCTTCGCTTGCCTCGGTCGCGAGCATGCTCCCCAGGCCTGTGATGGCGTTAACACGTACCAAGACGAGATTGGCCAGACAGCATGCAAGCGCATCAGCACCTGTGGCCAAGGACAGTATGCTTCTTCCGCGCCGACCACCACCAGCGACCGCGTTTGTTCGGCCTGCCCTGATGGCGAGTTCCAGAGCCTGGCCCTTCACATGCAGGCCAGCTGTACCGCCCACACGGTTTGCCAACCGGGCCAGTTTGTGATCAGCGATGGCACGGCCGTTGTTGACCGCCGTTGCGGTGAGTGCAACGGTATCGACGAATTTTCGACCACAACCAACGCCGCCAGCTGCCAGGCCGTGGCTGATTGTGCCGCCGGCACGTACGTGACCGAAAGCCCCTCTGCCACGGAGAACCGCCAGTGCGCCGCTTGCCCCAATGGTAAGTATAGCGAGAGCACCAACCAGGATGCCTGCATCGACTGGCAAGACTGTGCTGCCGGCAACTACGTGCAGGTCAATGGAACCACAACCACGGACCGTGAGTGCGAACCGTGCGACTACGGCGTTGACTTTTCCACGAGCACCAACGCCATGGCCTGCACGCCCGTGCAAGACTGCCAGATGGGTCAGCGTGAGACCGTGTCACCCACCCGCGTGCGTGGTCGTACCTGCGAGCCGTGCTCTGAGGGCACGTACATGGATCTGTCAGACCATGACCGCACCCGTTGCAAGGCCGTCTCCACGTGCACCCCGGGTACCTTCGTCTCGGTCGATGCCACCATCAGCAGCGATCGCGTTTGCGTGGCCTGCCCCTCCGCTGCATTCTCAACCGGTGAGAACGTGGAGGCCTGCACGCTGTGGCGCACTTGTGGTGCTGGTCAGTACGAGCAGGAAGACCCCTCCCCCACAAACGATCGCGTCTGCGTTGACTGTGCGGCCGGCACGTACATGGATAAGTCCTCCCACTCAGACTCGACCTGCTCGGCAGTCTCCAGCTGCCCCGCGGGCACGTTTATCCGACAAGCCGCGACGCTCGAGGCCAACGTCATCTGCGCTGCCTGTGATGGCGTCACCGGCTATAGCTCTGAGGAGAACCAAGCAGCTTGTACCCCGGTTTCTGACTGTGGTCCTGGGGCCTACATCTCTCGAACCGCGACTACGACCTCGGATGTGCAATGCCGCAACTGCACCTCCGAGTGCCTCCCCACACAATTCTTGACGGGCACCTGTGGTGGTGATGAGGGTACGGCCAACCCTACTTGCGTTGACTGCCACCCTACCTGCGCCACCTGCTCGGGTCGCAGCAAGTCCCAATGTCTGACCTGCGCTGGCAACCTGATTTATGACGAGGGCACCTGCATGACCACTTGCAGTGATCCCCATGATTACCCCACAGGCGGCGCGGGCAGCGCGTGCGCCGCGTGCGACGATTCTTGCGGTACCTGTGTTGGCCCCTCTGCCAACAACTGTACGTCGTGCGAGGGCAATTTGCACCTCAGCCCCGACTTTGCCTGCGTCGCACACTGCCCTTCGGGCTACTTTGACAACACCGACGACAACCGTTGTGAGGTATGCGCGACATGCACTTCGGGCACGTGGGCTTCAACGCCGTGCGCGCAGGATGCACAGACAGTGTGTTCGGCGTGGTCGCCGTGCGCCATTGGAGAGGAGCAGAGCACCGCCCCCACCCCGACGTCGGACCGCCAGTGTGCTGCATGCCCAGAGGGCTTTTACCAGGACGAGGCTGGCCAGCTGACTTGCAAGACTGTCAGCCTTTGCAACTCGCCCGACGTGGAGGTCGTTGCTGCTACGCCATCCTCTGACCGCGTCTGCGATTGTGACTATGCCGCGTGCGTCGATCGCATCAACAACATTTTCGAGGACCACATGTGTCGTGCCCCGGCCCCCGCGGAAATGGACTACTACGTGAACAACAGCCTCATCGGGTGCTGCACGGGTCGCCTCGAGGCGGAGCAGATCAACGATATCAGCAAGAGTGACACATATGCTGAGCGCCATGACTGCGATGGTTGCCAGCGCGGCCTTTGCTCGTGCGTCGATGGCTACGTGGAAACCAACACGACCTTTGTCATCTCTCAAAGCGACATTGCAGAGGCTGACGAAGTTGCCACGACGGACAGCTCAGCCACTGTCGCCCCTGCCACTGTGTTTGGCACCACCTGCCAACGCTGCCCGGCTGACACCTATAAGCCGAGTCACACCAACCAGTGTGTGCAGCAGACTGTTTGCCATCCTGGCCAATACGAGGCCGTGGCTGCCTCCATCACCTCGGCGCGCGTTTGCACCACGTGCAACTTTGACGCAGAGACGGACGACGACGCCAATCCGTTGACGCCTTGCGTGCCCGTGATCAAGTGCACCGCCGATCAGTGGGAGCAGTTTGCCCCAACGGTCACCTCCAACCGCGTGTGTCGCGCCGATTTCCCGGTGGCCGTCAACTTTGCGGCCGACTACGACACCTTCTTCGGTAACGACAACATGACCACCAACCGCACACTCGAGTTCCTGAGCGCCTTCCGTGGCCGCGTGGCCCGGGGCTACATGAGTAAGTATGGCGTCCGTGTCAATCAGTCGGACATTGACCAGTTCTTTGAGCCTGATACGTCAGTCTCACGCGGACCCGTCCTCAGCACGGCACGCCGTGCTGCGACACATGCCATCACCGTTACCGTGTTTTCGAGCAACGGCACGATCCAAACGCTCATTGTGGAGATGTCCATGAACGGCACGCTCATCGTGGACGGGCTGGAAGCATGGCCATGTTCCGCCGGTTTTGACTATTATGTTGAAGCACTCAGCACAACGCCCGGTTACCCGGCCGAGTGCACCGAGTATAGCGAATGTGTCATCAATGAGTTTGAGGAATATGCTCCGACTACCACCACTGATCGCATCTGCGCTCAGTTCAAACGCGCTTGCGACACGGACGAGGTTGAACTTGCGGCGCCTACAGCCACCACTGATCGCCTGTGTGGCCCACCGGAAGTCGATGAGTCCACTGGTGCGGACGGAGGCAGTGCCGGCCTATCGGCGGGCGTCGTTGCCGTTATTGCCCTCATGGTTGTGCTCCTGGTTGTTGTGGCCCTGGGCTTTGCCGTCTGGAAGCACCGCAAGGACACCAAGGACAAGCGTCAACGGGAGTGGATCGAGAAAATGTCGACGCAAATGGGCTCCTCGGCCAACGACACCCTGCGCGACGGCAACACGCTTCTGCGTCAACTCTCCACCCGCAACAACGGCATTCTATTTGATAATCCAACCTTTGACGTGGGCGGTCGCCAGACGCTGCGCAAGCGCCCGCGTTGGTATGTTGGTGCCATGACCCGTTCCGAGGCCGAGGCCAAACTCCTCGAGGCCGCTGACCCCCAGGCCGGAGACTTTGTTGTGCGTGAGTCGGCTGCCAACGGCAACTTTGTTGTTTCCATCCTTCTCGATCGCAACACCTTTGAGCACCACCAACTGACGCAGGACGCTCAAGGCCGCTTCCGTCTCAATGGCAATCTGCTGTCCACCGAGTGCACTACCGTGGATGCCGTGGTCAAGCACTTGTCGCAGGAAATGGACGGCACGTCCGCCCTTCTCAATGTATCGGCAGCCGATCTGGACTATGGAGGTAACGACACGGGCATCAACGCTGGTGCGTACGGTGCTGCCGCCCCCGTGGTTGAGGAACGAGATGACTTCTATGGCTCGGTGGTCAAGGGCGAGGAAGAGGCGCCCGTCAATGTCCGTCCCGACTGGTTGCGTGGTGAAATGTCGCGTCAAGATGCCGAGATGATTCTGCAGTCAGACCCCACGCCTGGAAACTTCCTCATTCGTGAAAGCAAGGCGCGTGCCGGTACCTATGCCATCTCGCTCGTGATTCATGATGGCCGCGTCGAGCACCACTCCCTGGTGCCACAGAATGGCACGTACTTGTTGAACAAAAAGCCCATGACTCGCGCTTGCTCGACTTTGGAGGATGTGGTGGATCATCTGACTTTCAATGAGGAATCCATGACATGCACGTTGCGCCCCAAGGCCCCGCGCTCCATTGTGGGCAACCCTGGTTACGAGTTCTCTGAGGACAACGTGGGCTTCCCGGACAACGGCGCCTTCAACCCCACCATGTTTGCGTCTGGTGACAACGACCTCTACGATGCCAAGCCGACCTCTCGTCCGGCCTATGTTGGCCCTGACCAAGGCTACTTTGTTGCTGACCCCACTGCCCCAGCCCTCCCTGATAAGGATCGTGGCTACATGGATGTGGGCACTACCAACGTGAGCAACGACGATGCAGACGCCTAAACCAATCGCCCCCGTACGATGTCAGCGTGTCTGTGTTTCCACTTGATTTTCGTTGCGTGACAATGTTGCGCGGCTGTGTGTGTGTGTGCGCGCGCGCGCGTGTGTGTGTGTGTGGTTTTGTTTGCGTGATGACAAAGACAGGTCGCTTCAAGGATCGTATGAACGGAGCCTTTTTTTCCTTTGGTGTTGCGGTGTCCTTCTCTTTCGACCTGAACATTGGTATGACGCAGTGTGCAGGGCTTTGTCGCCTCCGCCGCCCCTCCCTCCGTGAAGGGGTGCTGCGATTGTCATTTTTTGCCCTTGCGTTTCCTGTGTTTGGTTGAAGGCGAAGTCGATCAAGGCTTAGCCGTGCGTTTCTTGATCGTTTTGCCTGTCTTTTCCCCCTTCTGCTTGGGGCATTTCCCTCTGATTGATTTCTTGATTGCTTTTGTGCCTTTGTGCCTTTGTGCTGCTGTGTGCCGTGTTGTTTGTCTGTTTTTTGCTTTTTTTTGACCATATGGGTTGTTTATGCTTTGCGCCACGTTTCTCGATGACAAGTGATGCGCCCTCAATTGATGAGTGAACGGCCTTTGACGCTGTCCATTTTAATCGAGGAACCAATCATCAACCACACCCGTGTTGCTTGGACACACTAACAAGCCATGCGCGGCTCGGCCGCCAAAAAAAAAAGAAACACCTTGCCCAGAGACGAGTGACTGCAGTGGCGCAGCTTACACTCCCGTCAACGGTCCAAGGAGACAGGAAATGACCATGGTGCACAAGGGAAAAGAATATGCGCAAACACCCGTTCCAAAGTGAGTCTCCTTAAGAGTTCTTCGCAGCAAACAGATGCAGCTTGTCCACAGGCATCACTTGATTCTCAAAATGCAGCTCAGCGTCTGTCAGCTCAAAATTCCAAATTTCCTCCACGGCGCGAAAGGTATGAACGCTACCCTGTTGGCCAGAGAGTTTCGAGTGTGAGCAATGCCGAGTGATTGTGATCAGAAGACCATAAGGCTTGGTACCTTCAAAACAGCCTTATTGTTCAAGGCCGCAAGCTTGTTGATCAACGACTTGTGAAATTGTGCCTCGATCATCTGACGCTGGTGGTCCGATACGACACTCGCCTAAGGATGTCAATGGCATGTCACATGTGTATTGAGAGAAAACCAACAGTCATGACCAGTGGGCTTGCCGCTCGTCATTTCAGGGCGGAAAGAGAACCAGGCACACAAAGGTATCCAAAGACGTGGTTCACACGAACATCAACCAAATCATTCAAGGTAGAATTGAGCGCAGACCCAATGGCCGCATGGTCCATCACGGCCTTGGCTTGGTAGTTGGCCATGTTTAGTGTTTCTGTGGAGTGGCAAGGGGTATTGGTGAGGCGTTGCCCAATCATCACACAGAGCTCGCGCAAGCTGCCGCACGCTGACCATGGCGCTGCCGTGCCGTTCCCCTGTATTCACAGCTTAACCCCAAGTGTCTGAGAAACACTGCCTCGATTCGCCCGCCAGAGCCCTGTTGCCGTCCTCCATACCCGCCCAAAGCGATGGCGCTGCCGTTTGCACACACACACACACACCTCTTTGAATTGTCGCAACACCAACAAAAGCCAAAAAAAAAATGACAAAGACAAGCTCAACGTTACTGTGTCAGCGCTTACACTTTGATGTATTGGGGTCAGTTTATAGGGTAAGGGCATTTTTGTCTCCCAATTTGCCAGTGACACAGGGAGGGTGAGGGTGTTGGTCGGCTCAACGGCAGCGCTCCTCCGCCTCGACCTCGCTGCGCCATCCCGCTGCGCCGCCTTTGAGGCAGCGCAAGATCGAATTGAGTGCGAATCTGGCACAAGATCTTTGATCCGTGCTTACGGCAGACCTTGCGCACTGCAAAAGCCGTTATCGGAGGATTTTGCTTTGATTTCCCTGCGACCGTTCAAGAATGGTATGATGCGTTCCTTGCGCCCGTTTGATTGGCTTGACGGCTCCTGCACTTGGCACTTGGCGGTGCTGAAGCATGGCCCCAACTACAACAGGACCACTTTCGCCTTGCGCGCAAACGCTAATCATGTGCACAGCAACCGCCGCGCCTACAACGGCTTTGCTCACGATTGTTTTGTTGCGTCGCATCTTGGCCCGGCCTTCGCTGCTATCAGTCGGACCTCAAAGCAGAGATTGAGCAGAAGAAGAAGCGTCTGCAGGAACTGCAAGAGCTGCGTCAGCGCCGACAAAGGCAACGCGATGAACGCCAAGGCTCAGTCACCCCAGTCAAGGATGTCGAAGTGAATCAGCTCGTCGATCAGCTGCTGGCGGACGCCGGTGTGTACGGTTGTGATAATGTACCTTCTTCCGCCTTGATTTGATACGCAGAGGCCCGGAAATCTCACGAGCAGATCGATGTGTCCCATCTTCACGCGTGCAGGTGCTTCGGGCCTTGCCCTGGAGCCACGCGATGCGCAGCCGTCCATGCCCGCGACGCCCGCCCGGGCCACGCGAACGCACCGTCGCCCGAAGAATACTGCGGCCATGATGGTGTCAGATGTACGCCATGAAGATGTTGCCCCGTCTGACAGCGTGACCTACGAGCGCTCGGCGCAAACCGACGTTGTTCCCGAGCTTCAACCCAAAGAAGCTAGTCAGTAGGGCTCCCGCATGCATCTTTTGGCCATCCTCCACCAGCATGTCTCTTGTGCCTGCAAACCCCTTGTTTCGTGCTTCTTCTTGCCTATTATGCCTTTCGTACCGCTGGCTTTGCTTGGTCATTCACATGAGAGAGGAAATTCCTTTTTTTTTTTTTTTCTGGAAGGGGGCGGGTTGCTGCTTTCTTCTAAACGGCTTCTTCATTTGGCAGGTGAAGGAGAAAGCGGCGATGAACAGCCCGTGGATGATGCTGCTGTTCCTTTTGATGACGAGGACGAGGCGGAGCAGGCCGACGAGCAAGAGCCGCAAGAAGAGGCCGAGGAGGACACCGTTCCCATCAAAGGTCAGGTCTCCCGCACGCTATTCTTCATTCTCAACATGGTCTCTTCTTCCAAAAGAATCATCCACTGCTTGTCTCGTGAGCTGACCTGCCCAACCACCTCTCCCCAGAGTTGACCCCTGAAGAGGCTGAGCAACAGATGAACACTGGTGACTTCCGCGTGTTTTTGGACAACAGCTCTCGCCTCATGGAGCGCGTTCTCAGTGTCAAATACGATCCACTGATCGACTATGGCGCAGCCGACGAAACAGAAAAGTGTGTTCGGGTTTTTTGGCTGGCGTGATCCAGTTGGCTGTTTGCATTGCCCTTCAAGCCCTGCTCATTGATCTTTGGTTTTGGGGGTGTATTGGCGTTTTTGTGTTGGCCGGTTTGACGAAACTTTGTGGATATTAGGGATTTGGCCCCTGATCAAGCCGTGGGTGAACCCAAGCGCTTCAGTGACAGCCGTTGGACCAAGGGTCGTACTGTAACCTACATTGACTGGTCTTCCAAGGTGAGTGTGTTGCACCAAAGATGGATACTAACCCACGGTTCGAGCCTCTCATCGCCGCATCTTTCTCGCACCATGCTTTTCCATTAGCATCCCGAATTGTTTGCGGCGGCTTACAATGAGAACCCCGATGCTCCGCACGATCCTGATGGTCTGGTGCTGATCTGGAACACCCATAATCTCACCCGACCAGAATACTACTTTGAATGCCAGGTTTGATTTCCCGGTCCCATTGTCCACAAACCAATGCTCGTTGTCACAGCTACGCCTGCCCTTGGTCCTCACATGCCCTGCTGCTGTATGCGTAGAGCGCCGTCCTCTGCTGCCGGATATCACCTTATCAGCCCAACCTGGTAGCCGCCGGCACTTACTCAGGCCAGATTGTGATCTGGGATAAGCGCTCCAACAAGCGCACCCCGGTGCAGCGCTCAAGCTTGTCCTCGGTATGCTTGCCAAGATGTTTGATTGATTATGCGTCCAACCCTCCAATCCGCACCTGAGCGCATGTCATTTCCTGACGCGGACTTGAGAACACTCTCCTCACCCTCATTTGATGGCACAATAGAATGGCCACTCGTACCCCGTGTACTGCATGGATATTGTGGGCACCATGAATGCCCACAACCTGATCACTGTGTCCACTGACGGCAAGCTTTGCAGCTGGAGTATGGACACGCTCAGTGAGCCCGAGGACCGTATGCTGCAGCTTGGCAACACCAAGCAAGCCACAGCCACGTGCATTTCCTTCCCCCCGGGTGATACCAACAATTTCCTCCTGGGCACTGAAGAAGGCACCGTGTATCAAGCGTCCCGTCATGGTGCCAAGGCCGGCGTACAGACCGATGGCTACGCCATGCCGGGTTATATCGGACCCGTCACGGTATGCCTGTTATTTCCAACGCCTGCAGGAAACAAAAGATTTGTTTGTTTGTTTTTTTGTTTGTTTGTTTTTGTTTTTGTTTTTGTTTTTCCAAAATATGACGAGGGGGAAGGGCGGAAGTGGGGTTCTTAGTGCTGATCTATCAGACAAAGTCAGCGTTCAGCGAAGGGTGCTTGCCTGGGTTCTGCTCTCTTTGTGATGCCGTTTTCGTTGATTACCTCGTTGATTGCCTGCACTTTAGGGCTTGCAACATCACCCAGCGACTGGGAATGGTGAATTCTCCCATCTCTTTCTCTCATCATCGACAGACTGGACCGTCAAACTATGGTCAATGCGCGTACGTGATCCATCTGATCTTTGGGTTGGCTTGATGAATTTGATATGAGTGTGGCGGGTCGGAGCGGGCGTTTCTCGAGGGCTGGTTCGATCATTACCTTGACGACTGAGACTCACGGCTTGGCATCAAACTTGTACCAACCCTTTCCACAGTCACAGGACCACATGGCTCTCAACGTTTTTGATTATTTCGACGATTACGTTTATGATGTCAAGTGGTCGCCCGTGCACCCTGCTCTGTTTGCCTCTGTTGATGGCACGGGCCAATTGGATTTTTGGAACTTGAACGGAGACATGGAAGTACCCCTCGCCCGGGTCACTGTCCAAGGCCACAACATTGCTCTTAACTGCCTCAGGTATGCACGTGTCGAGCCTCACTTGCCTGTACGCCGTCATTTCCCTTTCCCGTCTGGCCGGCGTGATGCGTTGGCCTTTTGCACTTGGGTTGATAACTGCCTTGTTCATTGACGAGACCCACCATGCGACTCATGCTGATGCGAATGGTAATAGGTGGCATCAGAGCGGCACCAGCGTGGCCGTTGGCGATGCGGATGGCACCGTGCATGTTTATGACATTGGTGATCGTCTGGCGTTGCCCCGCGCGGACGAAAACTCCAAGCTGCGTGAGACCCTCAACGACTTGCAGGCCGTCCGTGAGGACGTGGATCGAGTGGCGGCGCAATAGGCGCACCCGAGTGGTTAGCACACCATGACCTTGTGTTGTAGCATGGGTTTTTGTTGTTGCTTCTTCCTGTTGCTGGATGTCTATGTTGGTGTGCACCTTGGCCTGCATTGGTGTCGTTCGTAGTTGGCTCATCTCAGTTGTGCCTGGGATGATGGGCGGAGGGGCATGCGCCTCTTTTGATCCAGATTCGCCTTGCGTGCTTCCGCGGTGAGGCGTGTGATTTGTCCCCTCTTGCCACTTACCCTTCATCTGCTGAACGCTGTACTGACTTGTTGGAACATGCCTGTTTGTGTTGAGTCAAAGCCACGCGCGTCCTGCGTGGCCTCCAAAAGAAATGATAAATCCATCAGTCGAACATCCATCCCTAACTTGGCGCTAAAAGGTCAATTTGGCCTCACTTGGACGTGACAAGGCGCTTGGGTTGGATAGAGAAACAGGTCCATTCGTATGCATGTTGTTTGTGTTTCGACGAGGTAGCCTACGCAGTGCGTAAATCATAGCGGCACAAGGGGCAAATGGTGGAAGATTCAAAGTGTCGATCAACGCAATGTCGATGAAATACATCCAAACAAGGCAACCGACGAATCTGCTGGCCGGCTTCAAAGTCATCGAGACATATAGGACACCGCAAAGTTTGTCGCACAAGAGCCGCGGCAGTTGCGGCATTCAGCTCCTGCACGGTTGATCGTCTGTCAAGGTGTGTCAGGCCCACAGGCGTGACTCGCTCATCCAAGGCCAGATAGGCTTCGTAAGTGTCCTCGCTTGGTGCAGCAGCTTGCCATGGGCTCTGAATCGACGACGGTCCCGGTCTGTGTGCTGGGAAAAGTGCCGCTGCCGATAAATGTGGCCAGCGCGGGATTGCTGGACTCGACCATGACGTGTCATCTTCAAAGGGCGTGTCTTCTAGGTGAGACATGCGTGGTGATTCGAAGTCACTGACAAATGGGGTAGGCCTGTCATATGAGGAACGACTGAGCACGTCTGGCCTTCTCACGACATCTCGCCATCTCACGACATCTCGCCTTCTCACGACAGGCCAGTTGCGAGACAAGCGAGGCGGTGGGCTGTCTAGCAGGGGCGTGCGAGTTGCGCTACTCTGTGGCATCCTCCTCAGATGCGCTGTAGCCAATGCGTCACTGCCATCATCTACAACCAGTACGCTGGAATCTTCGCGGTGGCGACGCGAGCCATAACCCATACGCTGCTGTCCTGTCGCGGCCGCAGACTCGGTACTGTTTACCGCTTCTGGCGACAAAGCCAGATATGCTTCGTGAGCGTCCTCGCTTGGTGCAGCAGCTTGCCATGGGCTCTGAATCGACGACGGTGTCGGCGTGTGAGATGCCGCTGCCGATAAATGTGGCCGGCGCGGGATTGCTGGACTCGACCATGACGTGTCATTTTCAAAGGGCATGTCTTCTGGGCGAGATCTCCTTTGTAAGTCGAGGGCACTGTCAAATCGTTGAGGCCTGCGCAAGGCTCGCATTCTCCAGCGGGGCCGGTCAGGAGACCAGCGAGGCAGCGTGCGGCCCATCGGCATGTGAGTTGCGCTACTCTGTGGCATCCTCCTCAGATGTGCTGTAGCCAATGCGTCACTGCCATCATCTACAACCAGTACGCTGGAATCTTCGCCGTGGCGATGCGGGCCATAACCCACACGTTGCTGTCCTGTCGCGGCCGCAGACTCGGTACTGTTTACCGCTTCTGGCGACGAAGCGCGCCCGCGATGGGGTTGCTTGCGTTGAGGTGAGTCGTCTACGACAACCACCTCATCTGACTGAGCGGAGGTCATCCTGGCAGATGCTGCGTGAGAGCGCCGCGCCTGGCGTCGCGCTTGTGCGACAGCTCTTTGGCCATCGGGACGGTTCGCTGAACCCTGCGTAGTCTGCTCGCGACTGGGCAGCGATTGAGGGCTATCGTCTGTCGGCACATCGTCGTCAGGAATGACGATCAACTGCCGAGGAGACCCGTTTGAAGGCATGGCAACAAAGGTCTGTGCTTGGCCTCAAGGCCGAACCTTGAGGCCAACAATTGGAAACGAGGGGCCTCGCCCACACGGCAACTTCCAACCATGCGCCTGCCCCATCAACTCATCAGTGAAAAGCAAATCCGTCCGTGCTTGTGTGCCTCTGTGTGTGTGTGTGTGTGTGTGTGTGTGTGTGTGTGTCTCTTTCTCTAACCCAATTCATGTCTTCTCTCTCTCTCTCTCTCTCTCTCTCTCTCTCTCTCTCTCTCTCTCTCTCTCTCTCTCTCTCTCTCTCTCTCGGGTCTGTTCTTTTGTTCCCTGTTGTTGTTACATGTGGTAGTTGTGCTTTTCCTTTGTGTCTCTCTTTCTCAGACCGTTCATTTCATTTTCTCTCTCTCTCTCTCTCTCTCTCTCTCTCTCTCTCTCTCTCTCTCTCGCCAACTTGTTTGAACAGGTTGCAACCACACACACGCACACACAACACATGCACAGTGTGCCGATGGGGGCTGGTGGAGGTGTGTGGGGAGGGGGGGTGAGTCAAGGGGATTTAAACTGCATTGATCAGACATGGCGAGGCCCGGGATGTCAGGGTCGCCACCAGAGTGGGACCATGTGCTAAAGGTCCTCGAGGCGACCTTTGGCTTTGCGGGCTTCAAGTCGGCTGAACAAGAAGCTGCTGTGCGTGCTGTCCTCCACGGTACGTGCGCTGTCCTGCGATTTGGACACCGACTTGTCAGCTGACGCAAAAGTCTGAGAACAGGCTGCTCGTCCCTCGCCCCTTGCCCCTCCTTCGGCTGGGCTCGGCTCAGCTCCCGGCTCACGCATTGCATGACAGGTGGGCAGGACGTTTTTGTCTGCTTTCCGACAGGTGGTGGCAAGTCCTTGACCTACCAGCTGCCGGCCGTCGTCCTGGGCGGGGTGACGCTCGTCATCTCGCCTTTGCTGGCCCTGATTGAGGATCAAGTCACTGCATTGCAGTCCCTAGGCGTACATGCTGCCACCATCAACTCGCGCACTCCGCGCGCTGAGCGATTTGATCTCCTGCAGCAACTGCGAGCCCGTCCCTGTCCACTTCGCCTGCTCTACCTGACTCCGGAAACACTGCAGACGGATGAAATGCAGCAGCTCATTCAAGCTCTGTATGATGATTCTGTCTTACGCCTCATGGCAGTGGACGAAGCCCACTGTGTCTCGGAATGGGGTCATGACTTCCGTCCCGCCTTTCGTCGCCTCGCCGTCCTCCGCCGCCTCTGCCCCACTACCCCGGTCATGGCTTTGACTGCCACTGCACAAGCTCAGGTTCAAAGCGATATCATCACCACACTCAAGCTTCGCAACCCTGCCGTAGTACGTCGCAGCACCTACCGCGACAACCTCACCCTAGAAGTGCGCATGAAGGACATGTACCCAAACCTGATGGGTGACATTACCACTTTTATCGAAGCTCAGCACGAAGCTGCTACTGCCCGTGGCCAAGCTGCCTCTGGCATTATCTATGCCTTTCGCCGCGAGGACTGCGAGGCCGTTGCAGGTGCTGTGCAGCGACACCTGACCCGCGCTGGAATTCGCTGTGCTGCATACCATGCGGGTCTCAACGCCGAAGAGCGGAATCGCATTCAGCACGAATGGACGGTGGGTCACATCCACGTCGTAGCTGCGACCATCGCCTTTGGCATGGGTATTGATAAAGCCAACGTTCGCTACGTGGTGCACGCTACCATGAGCAAGAGCCTCGAGGCTTACTATCAAGAAGCCGGGCGAGCCGGGCGCGATGGCCAACCTGCCGTCTGTCGGCTCTACTATGCCCAAAGCGATATGTCACTCTTCCAGTATTTGCAGCAAAAAGAGGCAAAGTCCCGCCAAAACAAGGAGCAACCCGATCGAGGAGATCACCTGCGGCATATGCAACACTATTGCCTCGCCGCTACCTGTCGCCATGCAGTCATTGCCCGGCATTTCGGGGAGGCCCTGTCGCCCTGCCAAACACGTTGTGACTGCTGTCGTGAGCCCGAGTCTGTACAGAAGCAACTTCGGTGCGTTGCCGGTCCCAGTTTGTCCCCCTTGTCTTTAAGCACGTCGTAGACTGCCGTCTCCGGCTGCCCGAATGAGCAAGTCAAACAGGCCCTATTCTTTGACCGGCTGTGTGCTGTCATGTACCATTCTGACCCACGCTCATTCGGCTGCGGCGTGTTGTCAAACGATTTGTACGGCTAGGCTGATCACGCGCGACAAGTTGGAAAAGGGTTCACACTTTGTCGCCCGCGCTGGACGTGGCCAAGGCACTTCCTCGAACGGCGAGCCGGAAGGGAGTGACGAAGAGCCCGACCCCATGCGCGAACTCTGTACGTATACGTTTTCCAATCGCGAGCCCTCAAATTGACTGGTCGCTAACATGCATTAACGAGAAATACTCATAACTGAATGCCCTGGCAGTGTTGGATGACTTGCAACGGCGTTTCAAGGCCGTGCCGCAGGCCAAGCGGGATCGCACCATCCCCCCCGACTGTCCCGTGCTGGTGAGTTCATGGCAAAGTCCATGCCTTGTTGGCTGGCAGGACTAGGCTGGGTAGTAACAGTGTTGTTGTTTGCCACTGAGGCTCTGTAGTGGCGGCGGTGACCGAGCTTTGTCAATTTGTTGCATGTGCATGTTGCTCCGTGATGCTGATGCCACATCTTCACCGTGCGTTTGATGTTGTTTGCGCAATCATGGCTGCTTTTTTTTTTTTTTGCTGGATGTTTCTTTTGCTGGCTGTGTATAGAAACCCGAAGCCACCTGGCGTGTAGGGCAGTTGACGATTGCAGCTCGCATTTCCAAGTATCACACGCTTGTCAGTGCCATTCAACGCAATCTAGCACGTGAGATTGTCGTGGCTCTGGCGCCGGCGGCGGCGGTGGCTGCCGCGGACATGGCAGGTCAAATGGAGCTGCGCTGTTGTCGTGTGAGCGAGGATCGCACTGATTATCTCGCAAAGACGACTCGAGCTGCACACAGCATTGATACCTTGACGTCTGCCGAGCTTCAATTCACACCTGACATGCTGGATCGACATTGCGCGCTCAAGCCCGAGTGCGAACCAACCGCAGTGGCAGAAGCTCAGGCGCGGGCCACTGAAGCGGCTGCGGCTGCGGCTGCTGCTCAAGCCACGGTAGATGCCCGTGCTGCTGAGGCAACTGATGAGGCCGAAAAACAAGAACGCAATTTACCTCCGCGTGAGCGGCTTTATTTCGAGCAGGTGGCGGCTCGTAGCCACGGCACGCCGGCCGGATTGTCAGATATGGACATGCACACCAGTCGGCCCAACCGACAGCCCGTGGACGATGCTGCTCTGCTTGCGGCTGCCTTTGGGGATGAGCCGCCTACCAAACGGTCACGTGCAAGCCGCGACACCGTGTCGCGACCCCGCGATTCTGACAAACACCATGCCCCCAAGATGACACAGCCTGCCGGCCCCTCGAGGAGCAATACAGATTTGCCGATGGGCCCGAGCGACCCGCGCCGTCCACCTGCTACCGAATCGTCGTGCGACAAACTCGCCGTAGCCCAAGCTGTGAAGGATATGCTATACCCACGTTATGCTTCGGGTCAACTCGATAAGGTATGAGGTGCTGCGTGGTGCGCGATCGTGCACAGCATTGAAAGAGCTGTCTTGGTTCCTCATCTTCATGACGTTCATGTTCGGGCCCTGTGGGTAGGACGCCTTCAAACGCCTCGCACGTGCAGCCACCAATCAGATCATGGTGCTGAAACCGTCACGTGATGGATTATTAGACGCCGTCTCCCAGTGTCTACGGGAGCTTGAAGCATGACATCTCAAGCACACTGTCATTCACGTTATCTCTTGACCCATCGGGTTGTGCTCAAGATAGTTTAGGATAAGTGGGCATGGATTACGATGACGAGAATCGAGCCCTGCACAGACAAGCCACAGACATTACACAAAAGTTTTGCGTCTTCTCCACTTTTGCTCGCGTGTTTGGCTTGCCGGTGTTTACAGATAGGATGCATGTCAGGAGGAGTATCACGCTTTGTTTGTTCAAGATTTCGATTGCTAGACATAACTCAAAGCTACATGGAAGACATAAAAAGAACAAAATCGAAAACGGGGTTATTTAGCTGCCCACATCAGCAACACACGCCGTGGCATTCTCATTCACGATCCAGCTACCATCGCAAGCCGAGCACTGCGCATCACCGCGGTAAAAGCGGCATTCAGTGCACTCGGGCATGACGCCACAACCCAGATCGAGAGGGCAGGCCACAGGCTTAAAGAAGGCATCCATCTCACAGGCTTCGAAAGTCGAATCGGTCTTGCAAAACCCATTCAGCGCTCCCTCGGCGCTCATGCAGTAGCTGTTGGGCATGCAATAGCCGTCAATCTTGTGAGGGCATCGTTGGCACTTGCCATCCTTGACGCCGTGGGTGTCCAGGACGCAGCTGGTGCACTGCATCTCCTCGTCGCACGAAGCACAATCGCAGGGGCAATCGAAGAGCTTGTAGCGTTGCAGGTCCATGCCAAAGCGCAGGCGGTCGGTTGCCTCGTCGTACACGGCCCACATGTTGGTCGGGTACATCGGGGGGTTCATGTCCGTCAAGCCCTCGGCGACCTGGGGAAAGGTTTGGATGTATGGGTTGGAGATCTGGCCATCGCGCAGGCGCTTGAAGAAGTCAACCGAGACCATGATCTCATGCGCAACAGTCTTGCCATCGAGGGTGATCAGGATGGGGCTGATACCGGGATACCTATACAGCCAGATCGACGTGGGGGAGTGGAGTCAGAAGGGCCTGCACACGTAGTAGTACCTGCAGCAGCAAGAGTGGATGCAAGGAATGTTGCCGAATGGGCGTATGGGGCTGGCACCTACCAAAGGCCAAGGCGGCAGCCCTCATCTGAGCCACCAGAAGCTTGGGTAAGGCAGGACAGCCAGCGCGGGGGCGTGGCAGGCCACGAGTCATCAATATCACGAGGAGTGAAGACATCATAATCCGACTTGGGCAGCCAGTGCATGCCGTGGCGCGGGACGGCGTGACCACCAAAGGTCGAGTCCAAGATGAAATCATCCGACAGGACGCGGCTGGAGGGGTAGTCAAAGATGGCAGCGCTCACGTTGTCCACGGGGCAGGGGGGAAATGAGGAGCACTGTGCCAGAGAATTGCGATCCTCCTCCGAGATGGAGAAGAAGTGAATGTCCATGTGGGGGGTGCCATAGCCGTGGCCAAAGCCGTCATAGCCTGTGCAGATTCCCATGATGGCGAAACAGGATCAAGGGAATGACGATGAGAACCAGAAAGGGTGGACTGAAAGATACGATGTTCGGGTGGAGGAGGAGGAGGGCAGGAGAGGGCAGTGGACGATTTGATGGATTGGGAAATCACTGACCAGGGTGACCAGCAGGGTTGTAAGCGGCAAAGACGTGGTTGTAAGGCACATCGTTGTTCTCGGGGACGGCCCAGGTCTCATCCCACTCGTCGGTGGGGGCGCCGGGCTGCAGGGCACCAAAGGCCGAGGCGTTCATGTCAATCCAGATGGCCTTGTTCCCGTCGACGTACAGCTTGACGTCCATGCGGCCGCCCAACTCGGACATCTCGATCTTGGCCAGGGCAGCAGTGGCCAGGCACAGCAGCGCTGCAACAGTACGGCACGAAGCAGCCATCTTCTTCGATCTTGCTTGCGATGAAAAATGAAAGCCCTCCAACAAGGCGATCTCGGAAAAACGGTTGAAGCAGTGCGATCGTGTATCAGTCAAGAGCTCGTGCTCAAGGTGGGTGGTGGTGGGGGTGGACCTTGAGCACGCTGCTCCCCCAACGTGGGAAGCTGTGGGAAGCTGTGCCCGCTGTGCACTGCTGTTCCATAAGCAAGAAGCGAGATGTGGAGAGAAGACGAAGGGCACAGATCAGTTGCAGCACACAGACAAAGAACGTGGCGGCTGTTGTGTGTCAGGAGCAGCAGCGCGCTAGGCCACAGGAAAGGAGCGCGTGTGCAGAACCGAGTGGGATTTTCTGGGGTAACGCGTGTTCGGTGTGTGCATGTCAAAAGGCCATGCCATCTTGTAGGCTAGGCTCAACCGACATGTGGCTCGAAGTTTCAATTGTTTCAGATAACTGGTGCCAGTACGTAGTAGCGTTGAGGACCAAAAGCCGAAAATCCCATGCTACGACCACTGCACGGATCAGCTTTTGGTGCGAGTACAACCATTTTGGTCGCGTTTATGTCAGGAGTTCCCATTGTTGCAGATTACAGTGTGATGATGTGTACACTTTGGGATTGAGGGATGTGCGGTTTGGGGTTGAGTTGTTTTTTTTAATTTGCCATCCCGTCCCCATCTGACTGCGCATCACTCCATTGGGCGGTTGAGGTAGATCAAGCCGCCGGCTGGTCGTTGGAACGGACACGTCAAGCACCGGAGGGCGATATCAGAGGCTCACACCTCTGGGCATGGGCAAGCAGAACTGTGCTCCCGACATCACCCAAAAAGCTTCGCAGCCATTTTGTCAACATCTGATCTGGCGTTTTGGTGTTTTAGCGAGGTGGGACAGCAGGGCATTTAGAAAAGCAACGGAATTGAGTCGTCCACCCGTCCCATCGCCGCAAGAGCCTCGTCGAGCTGCAAATGGGGATTGGGATTACATGTATGGTACAGAAATGTTCCTTGACGGGTGACCATATTTCAGAACATTTAGCTTGACTGCCAATGACAACGGCCCGCTTCAGCAGTCACGAACCTGATGGGCTTGCAGAGAAGTGTCTAATGCAGGCACCACCTCCCCGTGACCGCTGCCCATCCGCGCGCGATGCAGATCGAGCTCTCTCTTTCTACGGAATCAGGACGCATGTGATGGTGAGTGTCACCCCTCGTCCCATCCTTTGAAAGCGTACCAGTTACCAACCATGCCGGGAACAAAGGAAGTGTCAGAGCCCACAGCACCCTCGGCCGCCAAGATGCGGCAATGCGATAATACGCTGCCACGACGGTGATATGGAACAGGAACGCCACTCTGGGCACCGAGAGCACATTGCCTAGACGAACGACACCCACGATGTGTCGTTTCTGAGCATCGGCAACCGTTGCTTGAATCGATCGGTTGGTGTTCCTTGCCCACCGGAACAAGTCAACAGGGTGGTTTGTGAAAGCCTGATCCAATGCTCCATCGTACGGCAAAGTTCATCCTGTATTACTTGGTAAAGAGCTCAGTTTGCAGACAAACTCAAAGTCCACTTCCAAAGATAACAACGCCTTCGTTTCCACATCATCCTCCCAGTGCTGGTCCACGATCCGTCCGTGTCAGGCTCCACATCGTGTGTGGAGGTCAGTTTTGGGACGTGAGGAAGCGCAGAAAGCGTTTGGAGAGGGGTTTGTGAGACTGGGTGTTCGAATGCGTGGGAGCACGGATTTGGCGCTATCAGTCCATCATGCCGACCGCAGACCATGGTATTGTTCTGATCCCGTGTCGTTGGCACAACCTTATCCTCCCCCCCCCCTTTCCGCGTTCAGTAGCGCGCTCGCTTCCTATGACCCACTGCCATTGTATCTTTGTATCTAGCTTCTCGCACTATCGTTGTATCGAGCTCGTCTGGGGGGCTTCGAGACGAATGCCGGATGAAAGCAGCAGATTGATGCATACCACGGTTTTTGCAATGCGCGATGCACACGTCTACTCGGACGGGTGTCCATGCGAACCCCCGAGCACATCTTAGACGGGCCATTGCAGTAACAAGTGCTGCGGATCAAAGCGACTTCTTGTCGTATGCAGGCACAAAGTCAAATGTCAGCACCGTACACAACGAGCGAGCAGGGACGAAGTGATAAGAATCGGCTTGTATCAGTGCGAGGGACTGTGAGAAACAGCTGTAGATGCGAGACCTGCGATACTCGCCCCCACTGGCGCATGGGCGAGCTTCAAGCCAAATTCCACTGGCAAAGTGACAGCCACAGGGTCACCAACAAGAAACATTGAGAATAACCAATAAAACACAAAAAAATAGCACAAAATTACCCTAAAATTCGCCCAAAATTCAGTGAAAGCACCATCAGCGTGCAAAGTCACACCGTGGTTACACTTTCACACACAAAGTAAGTGACCGCGTGCGTCCCGCGCTGCTACGTCGGTCGCTGCAGGACACACGAGTCGGTCGATTGATTAACGACGTGCGAGCTCACGCGCCGGCGGTTGTGCGGATGGGCTAGCGTGCCTGGATCCGGATGCTCGCGCTGTGACACCTGCAGGTGCAGCAACAACACCCACACCCAAGCCTACTGAACCTTCACCATGGCGTCCAACGACGCAAGTCTCTCCGTGGGTCGCGGCTTTGATAGCGTCAGCAGCCTCCCCGACGCATTGCACGTCGGACAAGAGGAGGGGTGAGAATGCCTGCCTGTGATGGATACCGTTTGGTTTGAGACCACATCATCCTATCGCTGCCCTTCACACTCACCAGCGTTTGCGGATTCGGCATCACCGTCACATTCACACCGCTAGGTTTGACTTTGTGTGCACGCCAATCGTTGACCCAATTGCACCGAGCAAATACCAGGGCGATCTGGCTGCCGGCCTCAACGCCGTTGACGAGAGCTTTGCTCAGTCCGACACCATCCTCTCACATGCTGGTAGGGGCACCAGCTCGCTGACTACCATGTCCTTGGCTGCTGTGACCATCACCATCAATGACAACCTCTCACCATCACATGCTACCCTGCAACCTCCTCTGCACGCACGGTTAAATATCAGAGTGGTCACGTTTCATCGTGGCCGCCATCTCAGACTGGATCAACGTGGACAGTAAAGATCCGTACCTCCAGCGCCTGTCCTCCGAGGTATGGGCAAGGTCCACGCTAACCACCATGGCTCGCAGCATCCGCCGCTGTGCCAAAGCCGTGTCTCTCAGACGTGGCAATGCCCGGCCGAACTCTTAGGCCCTCCAGCGTGAGCTTCGCTGGGCCATCCACCTGGGTGTGCCATGCATCATGCTGCCCCTGGCTTCGCCCGATGTCGTGCGCCTTGCCAACACCATCGCTCCCTTTGTGTCCTCCTCGCGTATGACCCAGTTTTGGGTCCGTGCCCCTCTCGTGGCTCGCGAGTTGATTAACAGCCAACCCGACGAACAGGTACGCGTCCTACGTGTGCTGTGTGTCCATGCCGCATTCCCCAGCCCTTCTCCTCATTTTGCTTTTTCGTTCAACATTGCTGATCACTGTCACGGCAGCAACGGTTGCTGCTCGCTCGCAGCGACGCAGATCGTCCTCTGTACAGCAGCTGGGAGTGGTGGAATCAGCTTCGTCGTCTTTTGGCGCCCTGCCTCCGTTTCAACGTCGGTAAGCCCAACTACATCCTGCAATCCAGGATGCAGTATCCCCGATCGTTCTGCTGGAGCTCACAAAACCATGCGGACTCGCTCGAACAATAGCGTTGGAGCTAACATCAGATATTTGCGATGAAAATGGCTTGCTTCAGTGGGAGGCCGAGCCCATCAAGGCCCTGATCGTTCCCACCTCCATCTTCCTCACCAACTCCAAGGGCAACCCGGTTTTGTCCAAGGCACATCAGGCACTCTTCCTCCGTTTCATGCGAGTACGTTGTTGGCGCGACAAGGCCCGCGAGCGAGCCCCCATCTCTCCGATCCTCACTCTAATCTTAAACGCAACAAATTCCTGTCGGTGTCTTGCCTTTGGGTGTCTCACATGTTGTCTTCATTCCTTTAGTTGAACCCTCAAGTGGTCGTGGTCGGTGATGCCGCCGAAGGTCAAACACACAACATTTACCTCCGCTACTTGCACTTCCTGTTCTCCAAACGTGCGCCGCCTTCCACGTACCAATCCTTCACCAAAGGCTACGAAGATTACATTGAGATTCCACTTCAAGTGCGTGCACTGGGATATCCTTGTTGACCCCGTTTTGGGAGGGTCAAAGGTGTCTTTTTGAGCTCTTCACTTGCTTGCTTCATCTCATGTACTATTGCACAACCACTCTTTTGCCACAATGACCCACCTTTTAGCCCCTGATGGACAACCTTGAGTCGCAAACCTACGAGACCTTTGAGAAGGATCCAATCAAATATGTGCAGTATCAAAAGGTCTGTTCCACGTTCCTACAATTTCGCATGCCTTCGACGATGAGGAAAGCTGCGGAAGCCTGTCCATGGGGTGTTGCTGTTTGTCTATTAACCAAGGTATGCTGGCTTGCAGGCTGTCGAAAAAGCACTGTTGGATCGCATCCCAGAGAGCGAGGCCGGTAAGCTTTCAAGGTCAAAGCAGGCGATGCCGCCAGCTGCAATCAACATTTCCGATTAACATGCCCCCGCCCCCCTTTTTTTTTTGTTTTCCGGGTTGGTGTGACACGGCCCGCTTAGAGAACACAACGGCCGTTGTCATGGTGGTCGGTGCTGGTCGTGGGCCTCTGGTGCAACGCACTCTCGATGCCGCTGCCGAGGTGGGCCGCCAAGTCCGCGTGTATGCCGTCGAAAAGAACCCCAATGCCGTCATCACGTACGTGTCATTTGTCATGCCCAATCAAGGCAGTGTTGAACTGGCCGGCTTGCCTTTGTTCATTTTTAAGCATTTCCGCCTTACTTGTCAGGTTGAAACACCGCAAACGCACCGAGTGGGCTGATCGCGTGACCGTGGTCAGCCAAGACATGCGTCGTTGGCAAGCACCCGAACAGGTGAGATAATTGCACTCTGGTTTCGTGGTTAAGTGGCCAGCAGCTCCCTACGCTTGGATGGCCTTTCTCCAGCTCCATTGACCCTCTTCTGTGCCTCATATCTTCTTCTTTTGGATTGACAATAGGCAGACATCTTGGTGTCCGAGCTGTTGGGATCCTGGGGTGACAATGAGCTGTCACCTGAATGTCTTGATGGTGCCCAGCGCTTTCTGAAGCCAGATGGAATTAGCATTCCTGAGGAGTACACCTCATACCTGGTGCCGGTGGCCGCCCACCGCGTACACACTGACTTGAGCGGCCATACCTTGCCCAAGGCCCTCGAAACGCCGGTATGCCATGGTTGATAGCTCTCCCGCCATTGTGTGCATCTTGCTACGAGTTCATTTTCTTTCGTTTGATTCCTTTGACCCCGCCCTGGATTTTTTTCTTCAAAATTACCGTTTAGTATGTTGTGCTGCTGCACAATCACGTTTTGCTGGCTCCCGAGATTAAGCCCCTGTTCAAGTTTTCGCATCCCAATCCCGAGTGCAGCAACCCAGATGGCCCAGACAATCAGCGCTACATGACAGTTGCCTTCAAAGCCTCTCATTCAGGCCTGATGCATGGCTTTGCTGGCTACTTTGACAGCAAGCTTTATGGCGACGTGTATATCAGTGCGTTCAACCCGCGACCACGACAGGGGGTGGTCAGATCTTCATTCATGTCACGCGTTTGCGTTTGCCTTTGCGTTCTGCGGTCGGTGCTTTGTGTTGTCCGCGTAGGCATTCACCCAGAAACGCACACCCCGGACATGTTCAGCTGGTTCCCCATGTTCATTCCTCTCAAGGTAAAAAAATTATCATCATGGATACGTCGATAGTGATGCAAAGGCATGGCATGGGGGCCTTCCAAGGCCACGTCAAGTGTCATCTGGTGTACCTGGCAGAGCTTGAACTGACATTCATGTGTGCATGTGTACGGCTCGCTTAGAACCCTGTGTATCTGCGGCAAGGCGAGACGGTCAAGGCCCACGTTTGGCGCAAAGCAGACCAACACAAGGTATCAACGATCGATGGCGTGTCTGTTCATGGCTGTGTGTTTCGGGTTCAATGGGTCGGCATGCCGTTGATTGCCGTTGATCAACTCACAACACATTTGCTCGCGTGCTCGATCAGGTGTGGTACGAATGGTGCATCACCAGCCCACAGGTGTCCGATATTCACAATCTGGGCGGCGAGCATTATTTTGTTGGTCTCTGAGATGGGTGCTTGACAACTGCCCCAGTTTTTCATTTTTGAGTGATGGATCAAGATCCAGCGCGCACACTACGCGTTGTTGCATGTCAGTTGGAATTTGATCTCGCAGAGAACAAAACAAAATCCAGTTTTAAGCCAAATTATTGTTCATTACGCAAATGTATGGTGGCCGGGCCGAGGTCGGGGAGATGAAGGGGCGAGAGGTGGCGCTTGAGAGAGGACAAAACGAGTGCCTGCACCATCTCGAGAGGACTTCACGCGCACAGCTAAAAGGCGTAGTGCAGCAAGCTGGTTTCGACTGGCTCACGGCAAACCGGGCAGCGTTTGTCATGACCACAGGCATCCAGCCACTCAGCCAAGCAGCTCCGATGGAAGGTTTGGTGGCCACAAGGCAGCACGGCTTTAAGCTCTGTAAGTCATGATCGCATACGTTGGTTCATAGGCCAGTGGATGAGGGAAAGAAGACAGCCCAGCAAAATGATAACACGAAACAAAAGAGAGTTCAAATGAAACCCAAAATGAAACACAAAGCGGGGGGTTGGAACAGTGAGCGGTTACTTCGCATCGCACGTACCAGAGCTCGCGTCATCAAACTCGGCAAAGCAGATGATGCACATGTCAGCTTCGTACACCTGATCTGGTTTTTGGGAAGCAATCATCTCCACAATTTCGGCGCCGCGCCGCGTCGTTTGCATGCGCTGCATGCGCTGTAGCCGCTCGCCAGCACGCCGACGACGCTCCGCTTCGGCAAGCCACACACCAGCAGAGATACCAGCCCAGAATATGGCGACGACAAAGTAGATCCAGATGTGGCGAGGCGTTAGCCAGAGCCCGGAGCCCAGGATTAGGGCCGGTACGAGAATGGTCTTGAAAGGAAGGATGCGATGCAGCTGAAAGCGACCGAGTAGAACGTTGACCACGTAAAAGGACATGGCAAAGGTGGGAGACACGTAAAAGTCCAAATGACTAAGGTCGAGGATGAATCGGTTGACGGCGCCCACCACCGCTTGTACGCCACCCCAGACCACCCACATTACGGTGCTCACACTGGTGCTGCACCAAATGGCTGCTGCATTGACGCGAGCACCAAGCAATCCCATCATGTGATAGGAGGTTGCAAGCGGAGCGTCAAACTTGCCTTCGTGATGCAAGTAGATGCCGTAAATAAGCAGGATACTGGCCATTAGGGGCAGCAGCGGCGAATGCCAGATGCGCATGATCATAGCAGTTATAGTGCTCAAAGCGGGTCGCACAACTCGCAACGTCAGGTGCGACGCTTGGGTCAGAATGGCCACCAGGTTATCCCATTGCACAAGTCGACGCAGCCCATTGTAAGCTCGGGTCACGAAAGAAGCCAACCAGCGCAAGACAAGATGCCAGATTCGGAGCGTCACGTCTAGAAGTCCAAGGTCTAGGTGTTCATAGTGATGTTCAAACACGCGCATCAAGGCTGGCGACCTGCGTGCGGTGGCCACCATGATGCCTGCAATGGTTGCACACGCATATGTGGCCAGGGCATAGGCAACGCACACCAGGTTCGTATTCCAGGCGGTACGCAGTGTCATGGTGGCGAATGCAATCCCAATGGCCGTGAAAGCTATCACGCGCAGCCACTTGAGAGAGCGCCGAAACCATGCCAAGGCCCGCGTCAGGATTCGTACTAGCGCCTCGCTCAGGCGCACCAGGCTTGCCCACATGGCCTGTACCAGTGGTTTGACCAGACGCGGCCAAACAAAGCTCTGCCAGGCTGCACCCACATGGCGAGCACACCAACGGCCCATCAGAGCCACTTTTTGCCCAATTGGTCCATATACGACAACGCGCCAACAATTAAGCGCAACGCGACGTAGAAAGTTATTGGAAGGCATTTGGTACACTGTAAACGTCAGCTTGCGATGCAAGCGGGCTGCCAAGAGCGCCCCGATGCCCAAAGCTGCAGCTGGGAAAAACTGCTCAGCAACGACAAGGCACAGTGCGGTTCCAAGCTGCGCGAGGGCAAGGGCACCATACACCTGTGCTTGTGAAACAAGCAAGATATCTAATCAAGAGGTCGCAAAGGAGGTGAGGCTGCTGATCTGGGCAATCAAGCTGGCCACGCACGGTGGAAAAGCAAGAATGTCGAAAACGTACAGCGAAAGGAGGTATCAGGCAGTCGCAAGTACTCAGCAGCACCACAGCGCAAGAGAGGAAACAACGAAATAGTCATGCCCGCGACGCCCAGGCCAAGGCGAGTCAACGATGCCAAGGTGGTCATCTGCAGGATTCCCCAGTCGTAGGGTGTGGGCGCCCATAGAATCGATCATGAGCAACAGAAGTTTGTTGAGGCAGCCTATTACTTGCCAGAAAAGGTCAAGCAACGAACTGGCCAAGTGCGGATCGAGGCGAGAGCGAGAGCATATCCAGGACACCAGAGATGCTACCGCAAAACACAGTCCCAAGTCATCAAAGAAAACCCATACCGATAAGAGGCGGTCAGGTGCCAGAGCCAGTTGACTCAACCCGGCGCCCGTCAGAGCGCAACATAGCCAGTAGATGACGCAGCCAACGATGGCTGATGTCAGTCGGAGCTTTGTGACAAGTGTGGGCACGCTGGCTGCAGCCGTCAACCACATGATTGTGCTGATAATCTGTGCTATTGCAGCAACGGGCATCATGGACCAAGAGAGTAGGCCCCCAGTACTATTGGCATCGTAGCGCCACCAAACGCGCTGTGCTATGAGTACCAGCGCCACCATTCGCAGCAGAATCTATAGCAAACAGGGTACGGCCAGAAAATTCAAATCCGAGCCAGCAAATGTGAGGCGCTGCCAGCCAAAGCCGAACAAGCCAAAAAAAAACAAGAAAAAATGAAAATAAAAACCCCAATAAAAACGAAAACAAATACAAAAAAACCACAAAGGTCGGTGTACAGACCGCGCCGGCTTGCTCGACTCTGAAGGCAAAATACACACTGGCAATGAGGGCCTAAAAGATCAGACAGCATGCGTGAGTGTGAGATCAAGGAGAATCGAGCGAGCAAGATCAAGAGTGGTCAGCGGGTTAAGATGGCGGCCGCGTAGGCCTGCGAGAAAGGAGAACGAAGGTCAAACACCAACGCGGTGCTCTCTTCGCAGGGCGTACCACGCTGCCACCACTTGTGAAGAACCAAATCACAGCGCCGCAGGCTGGCAAGGCGTTGGCGAGAGCATTGAGTTCGATGCCCAATTGCTGCGTGCAACGAGATAAAAATGAGCACAAGAGCTATTCTTGTAGGCCCCCAAAAAGGTGCGCAGTGCGCAGGGCACTTCCGCAACAAGTGGTGGGCCTCTACAGAGTACTATCAATCATCTTACATCACTTCCAAACAGCGCCGAAGCGACCCAGAAGGCGCCGATACCCATTAATGCAACGGACACCGCGGAGCTGCTCAAAGCACGAACGTCGAAAAGACAGCAATAAGCCAGGGTCAGCGCCGTCCGGTCGAACGGGACAGGCTGGTGGGAGTGCACGTTTGGGGCGGAGCGAAACGTACGCAAAGTTCCAACTCAAAGCCTGTACTTCAAGGCCTGCTAAGAAGATAACCAGACCACAGGTGGCAATGCCGAGTTGATTGAAGCGGCCCTGATCCAGAACACGGCCAATGAACATGGCGTAGAGTGTGCACGTCAAGCCGGCGGCCAGGAGAAGGACCGCTGCCAACGGGTGTGCACCAAGACAGAGATAAGAGTGAGTGGGTGAAGCCAGCGGGTTTGAATACATGTCGACCCTTGAGCTGATTAGCGTGCGCGGGACGTACGCAGAAAGCCTACGGCATAGCAGCTCCACCGAGCGGCAGCCTCGTCAAAGAGCAAGGCAGCACAGGCCAACCAGAGACCAACGCGGAGAGAAATGGCGTTGCGAGCGACGAGCTGCGTGATGGCCTCTTGTAAGTGGGTAAAGCGTGTGAGCACGCTGACAGCCGAAACAATGGCAATGGCGCCAGGAATCAGCAGCAACAGGAATTGGTCGTAGACGAAAGACCCAGGGGTAAAGAAGCGCTGAACACTGAAAATGGCACCCAAAAGTGTCAAGCGCGGGCTATGCAGCGGTTCCCAGGTGGCGCGTAGGTCGAAGACTTCCACCCGCGGTGTGGGCGTCAGGAAGGGGTGGTCGGGAAACAGCAGAGGTTTAAAAGTACTATTGTAGTATGCTACGGGGCCAAGAACGGAGGAGAGCGTGTAGTCGAGCGCAAAGAGGGCCCGCAAGCGCAACATGCCGGGAGTAGTTGAGACAAAGGCTAGGATGGCAACGCTCGCGAGCAGGGACATGGCAAAGTGTAGGCTCGGTATTCGGCCGTAGGGGCCAAAGACGTGGCGCCAGCGCAGGCGGTGCCGGAAGGCGGGCTCAGCGGTTTCAGAATCTCGGACATCGTCAGCACCGAGAAAGGCCAGCTCGGCTTGATGCAGTTGTTCATCTTCGTCAGTCAGGGGATGAGGCAGCTGGTCGCTTGGGTCTTCCGGGGCCTCGGCAGCAGACGCTTGGCGCGAAGGCGTTTGTGAGCCGGAGAGTTGTTCAAGGCGTTGCTCAAGAATGTGCAAGGCTTCTTCAGCGGCTTTGTGGCTGGCAAGTTTGATTACGATATCTGCGCGTCGCGTGACGAGGACCAGATAGCGGGAGTGGTGCCTGTCGCAAAAAGCATCTCGCACATTCTGGAGTGAAAACTCGTGTTCCAAGCGTCCAGCGTCACGAAAGGATTCGCCCGGGGCTGGAGCAATCGAGAAGCGACGGTCAGTGATGGTCAGAATGGCCTTGGGCTTGTGTCTATACGTGGCCTTGGCGGCAGCGACCGCGAGTTGGACAAAATCAGCCTTATTCCCGACCAGCTCACATCGCCCTGCCTCAAAGACGGCCACCAGCTGAGGTAGCAACGTGGCGGCGCGTGCGCATGTGTAACCAGAGAAGGTTGGAAGCACGAAAAGCGAGCAATCAGTTGATATGTGCACGTGAGTTGTGAGCATAACCAAGGCTGAATCAAGCCCGCAGCACAGCAAGCAGGGGTCCGGGAGGCTGTGTCGGAGCCTGCGCGTATCTGACCTTGCAAAAATGGCGTGACATGCTTCACGGTGGGCGGGCTGGAACTTGACGGTGCTCCAATCAGCAGACGTGAATTGGGCGTGGGAAAAGGGCCTGGGGAGCCTGAGTGCTGCCCCAGGCGGTCAAGAGGCCCACTGATGGGCACGCACAGTTGTATGGACAGGGCGAGCAATTCAGCTCGACCACGTTGTCCGTTGCATGGGCATCAGGTCGCAGCTTCAAGACACCCCCAACACCATCTACATATCCTCAGCTCCTCGCTGTGGTCCCTCTTTTGCACACGCCAGTCCTGAAGCAACAGGGTCAGTACACCCGCAATCACGGTGCCTCTCCAGACATCGGGACCACACGATCTCCGCCCACCGCCTCTTTGGCTTCTCTCGCGCCACACGAAGTCCCACCAAAATGCCATGTCGTTCCGCGACAACTTTTTGTGGTTTTGTGTGTGTGTGTGTGTGTGTGTTTGTGAAAGAGAGAGCGAGCGAGCGAGAGAGAGAGAGAGTGTGTGTGAGCGAGAGAGGGAGAGAGCGAGAGAGAGGGAGAGAGAGTGTGTGTGTGTGTGTGGCTCGGCGATTCGTGTTTCGGGCGCTGTCTTTCTGGCTCGGGGTTTTGGTGTGCTGTGGCTGACCATTGGTCTGTTTGGAGGGCAAGTAAGTATTAACATGTAATACATGTAAAGTCAACACGCGTCTCGCTCGGCTCAAGTTGATTGAAACGTTCATGTGGCATTGGTGGCTTGTGCTTCTAGCCAGGTGGCCAGGGCCGCCGCGAGCACAAGGGCGGGATCGTTGTCACTCGAGGCCACATCCAAAGTTTCACCTGCGTCGGCAATGTCCTGCCGCGCCTGGCGCAATCGTTCTGCCAGGCGGCCGCCCGAACTGGACGCGGGAAGATCATCGAGGCCTGTCGTGCTGTCCGGGGCATCGCTGCGATCCTGCACTTCCAAGGCTCGACAACTGCACTCGACATAGGGGAGGCCGAGCTTGGCGGCTGTTTGACGACCACTTGCGGGTGAGACCTGCGCAGCCAAGGCATTGAGCCAAAGTCACAGTAGCGGGGTGAACGCCAAGCCTGTGGGAGAACCAAGCCAGTGGGAACCTACGGCGGGTGCATAGTCCATAATGACGGCATTGTTGTCTCGATTGTGCCGAAGATCGGTTTTGAGGCCCACGAGCACAGCAACGGGTGCGGGCACGCCATGGGCTTTGCACAAATCTTGCAGCTTTTTTACTTCCGGAAACCACCTGCCAGCAAGATGACATGTTGAATGAGGTCGATTGGTGAGACCTTGTAGCAGCCCACGTTGGGGCGGATAAGAAGCACGGGGCCCGAATCAAAACAAGAATTGTGAATAGCTTCGGAGATGCAAGTGGAGGGTTGGGCGGCACCCCGGACGGTCGACACACCGGGTCGTGACATGTGCCAGTGTTTCCCGACTGTCCACTGCAAAGCACAACAGGAAAATGTCAACTCGTCCTGGCAAAAAATATTGTTTCCTAAGTGAGTTGCAGCCGCTCGGCGTGAGAAAGCCATATGGGAGTAGAGCTGCAGACTGTAGGAAGCGGCGGAGGTCAAAGGCGCATTCAAAGGCGAGGTGTTCAACCTGGGTCCCATTTGAAACTGATCGCGGCTAGAGTCCTCGAGGAGTTCGAGGGTAGTGACCAGTGTATTCGGGGGTCGGGCACCGGTAGGGCGGCGACCAGAGCGACGTCGTAGGCTGGCACGGAAGGAGCGACGGGCGCCAGAATCACGACGACTCTTCGGGGTGCCGTCCACTTCAGTTTGCAGCTGACGCCAGGGGCGGAGGTCGGCATGAACCCGGGGTACAGTGGCAGGGTTGTTTGCAAAATCGTGATGCAACGTCGCCCCAGGCTGATTCGTTCTTTGCGCCTTGAGGAGGCTGTGCAGGAGGGCGCTCTTGCCAACGGCCCAATCACCCAAGGCCATGAGTGCGAGAGTTTGATCGAGCTCTTGTGCCACCTTACTGGCCCGGGCATCCAAAGTCGGCTCGACTGCACGCGTTTCCTGTACCGTAGCCTTGGTTAACTTGAGTTTGCGATCGTCAGCTGCCAATGAATAGGTTGCAGGGGCCCCGGCATTTTGAAAGGTCTCGGAGATCGAAGAGATGGCGCGCGCTGGTGCGTCAAAGCAACGATAGGCACCATGGGATAAGAGATGGCCCCGACAGTGGGTGTGCTCAGCACCATGGGCGCACGTGGCGTGGCTACTTGCTGTGGCGCGACATAGAACATGACGGTCTTGGCCATATTGGTAATGAATCACATCAGCTGATGCCACGGGCAGTTCAATGGTAGCTGCCGCCATCGCCGCCAAAGAAGCCTGCCTGCCCTCGGAACGAGAGGAACAATGAGATTAGACCAACAAAAGACTGCCTCGCAACAGTACAGCTCGCAAAGCTTTGATTGTTTGGTGCCTGTACAATCGAAGCATGCGCACACCACGGACTCGGTTCACCATCGTGTGCGAGAGCGAATCCAGCCACAAACCCGAGACCTGATTTGGCAGCACCACCGAAAGAGAAGAAAAAAATTCAAATCAGGTTTGTGCCTTCATGCACACATTTCCAATTTTGCAATTTATAAATTAAAATACCTGAAGCTGGGTCAGTCGGCGCCTTAGCTCAGTGGTAGAGCGTTGGTCTCGTAAACCAAAGGCCACGAGTTCGATCCTCGTAGGTGCCTTAGTTTTTGCTTCGCGGTTCAATGTCAGATTTTCAGATCTAGCTGATCGTTGCAAGTGTGCTGATCGATTTTTTTTTTTTGGCGCTGGCGGGGTGGCGCGCATCGCACGCATCATGGATGGCCACGCCTTGTTGAGTCTGGCAGGCAGAGAGAGACAGACGCCTTGACACGTTGAAGGCGAGTGGGCGGGTGGAGGCCACTTTTCTCTCCACGTGAAGCAAGCTTGGTTCTGTTCATTTGCTCTGGCTGCACAGCAGCAATGTGGACGCTTGTCTGGAGCCCTGTTCATAAGGATGCTTGGTTTCCTGCAAGAGAGCTCCAATACGCCATCACCCGTTGGGCGCAGGCGCAAAGGTGATCAATCATGCAAGTGAACTGAGCTGCCTGCTGATAAAAGACCCTCTTGCACTTTGGTCCTGCCAGTCAGTATCACTACTGGAAGTCTCCCCCATCCAGTTTCTGAATATCCCCTGACCAGCTCCAGACGCAGTCTGTCTGTAGCCGATGGCGGGTGTGATTCGTTGCAATGCAGCCACTCGGAATGGCCATCATCACGCACGCCACACATGTGTGTCTGGTCATCATCCTGGTGATTTCGAATGGGCCAGGGAAGGCCTGCCCAGCCATAGGCAGGCTCCTCTGATCCACACGGCGCGTGGACACATCAGCAAGCTCCCATCTCTTGAATAGTGTGCACTGACAAACAAGCGTCATTTTACAGGAATCCCAGCTGCCGACAATAGTAGTTGTTGCTCCGCTTCCTTCTTCCACCAACCCCCGTCTCCTACGCACTCCGTGAGTCTGGATCCCACTTGCTCAAACCCGTCCCACAACCGTCAGCATGCGCTTGCTGCGCGTAGCAGTCGTGCTGGCGTGCGCCCTTCTCGCCACGAGCTGGGCACGCGACCATGACATCCTGCAAGGAACGGAAAAAACCATCGACAAGGCCACTGGAGCCTTGCACGCCGCCAAGGATGGCCTCAAGTCTGCCCAAGCCAAGACTGCTAGCGCCGCAGAGACGGCCTCCATCAATGCCAAAACCGGGGCGCAGACCGCGCAAGCCAAGGCCACCGAGGCTGCGCAATCCGCCCGTGAAGCTCTGAATACGGCCACCGATTACATTCAACGCGAGGTAAGCTTGCGGTTGTTTTCACATCTTCTATGAGTCAATACTCAGATTTGTCACACCCTGTTCCGTTGTTCGATGTGCGACGACTGCGTTGACTCGGTGTCCATCTTAATTCCATTGTGCTTTTTTTTTGTTGCTTTGCATTTGGCGTCCTGTTCATAGAGCCAAACGAGTCAAGAACTTAAAGGCATGGATCGCTTGAAGACTCGCCTCGGGCTGCAGGACGTTCCCAACCCCACCATCCGTGATCGCGTGAACACCCAGCTGGCCAAGGCACAGGAACTGGTCCGTCAGGGCTCTCTCGATGCCCGTGAGGCGTACGAGAGCCTTGAGGCCCGCTTGGCCGAGGAATCTCTTGAGCCGTCAACCTTTGACCGCTTGAAGCAAGCACTGGGCCTGCAACAACCCAACACCCGTCAACGCCTGGAGGCCGAGGGCGCCAAGCTACGCGAGCAGGCCAGCCATCTTATTGAAACTTCGCAAAGCCAAGCTGTCTTCCTTCGCGACGCTGCCGTCTCCCTGGCGGGCCGCGCGACCGAGGCGGCACACGAAGCCAAGATTGAGGCCGAGAAGCAGGCCGCCCACGCCCAGAAGCACGGTCTACGTGAAAAGCTGGGCTTGAAGAAACCCACGGCCACACTGCGCGATCAGGCGACCGAGCAGGCCGAGGCCTTGCGTGATAGTGCCGAATCCATTGCCACCCGTCTCTCCGCCCAGGCCGACACGTGGGGCAGCCGCCTGTCTTCCGCCATGTCAGAGATGACCGACTTTAGTGGTGATCAGCTGACCAAAGCCCGTGCAGCGCTTGCCGACACCTCGGACGACATTCGCCAATATAGCCGTGACCTTTATCACCAGGCCAAGGAGCAGATGCAGCCCTCCGATGCCAGCAGTTCCTACCTTCAACAACTCGAGTACAGCTTGGGCCTGGCCGAGGCGCCCCATGCAACCGTGCGGGATCACATTGACGCCGGTTTGAGCGCCTCCAAGGACGGCCTGGCCACTGCTTCGGAGCATCTCAGTGCTGAAGGCAAGGTGCTCGGTGATCGTTTGCAAAAGGCTGCTCATGTGGCCAAGGAGAAGTCAAAGGTGCTTGGTGCCAGTGCAGCCGAGCACGCTCAAGAGTGGTCTGAATCCCTCAAGTCGACCGCCCACAAGGCCTCAGCCAAGTTGCAAGCCACAGCAGCCCATGTGCAAGAGGCAACGGGTGAGGCCATGGATAAGGCCCGGGCGCACGCTGCCGAAGCCAAGGCGCAAGCCGCCGATGCCCGTGCCAAAGCCGGCAAGCATGGTGAAGAGATTAAGCAGAACGCCGAATCGGCCTGGCAATCAGCCAAGGCCACGGGCCACGAAGCTGCAGAGGACTTGAGCGCCCGTGCTAGCAACCTGGGCACCCAGCCCACATGGTGGCAGCAAACCCAGCACTATCTCTTTGGCACACCCCTCCGCACCGAGCAGGCATGGCACGATGCACGTAGCAAGGCGTCCGAGGGCTGGCAGGCGACCCGCGAAAATGCCGGTCATGTTGCCGATCAGGCCCGTGAGCGCTGGGCTGATGTCAAAGACAAGGCGGCCAGTGGATGGGACACCGCCTCAGGCCAGGCACGCCGCACGGCAGACCAAGCCACTGATTCACTCCGTGCTGCTCGCCAGACCGCCGGCGAGAAGCTCGAGGACATTGAGGCTACAGGTACCGCCTACACTGAGAAGGCACGCCACGGTGCCGAGTCTGCTGCAAACAAGGCGCAGCATGCGGCGCAGCGAGCAGCTTCGGCCGGCCAACAGGCTGGTGCCACCGCCACCAACAAGCTGCGCGAGGCTGTTGACCAGGTGAAGGAAAACAAGTACAGCGAGCAAGTCCACTTCACGACCCACCCTGACACCTGGCACGACATGCGTGGTCTTGTCGATGGCATGCTTGAGGGTACCCACCAACGCGGCCAAAAGGTCGCAGATGAGGTCAAGGCCCAGACACATCACTTGGCCGACAAAGCCGGTGCCGTGTACCACCGCGGTAAGGAGGGAGCTTCCGAGGCCGTGCGCAAGTTGCACGCTGGCGTGAAGGAAGTCCCACCGATTGCGGAGAACGAGTCTCAACGCGTTCGACAGGCCGTCGTGCAAGGGACTCAACAGGTCAAGGCGGGCGCCCAGAACCTCAGTGCGGGCACTCGCAAGGCCATTGCCAATTCAGAGCTTGAGGATGCCTACCAGCAAGCAGCCAGCGCTCTCAAGTCGATGAGTGACTTGAGCGGTAACATTGAGAAGTCGCTCTGTGAGCACGCGCCCACCAAGACGACACAGCTGCATCGTCAAATCCATCGCCACTTTGACTCGGTTGATGCATCCGCGCGCGATGCTTTGAAGCAGCTCGGCAAGAAGGTACGAATCTTACATGGACCGATGGCCCCTCCCTTTTTTGCCCTGGGCATGCTTGCGTCAATGTCTCCATTCCACTCATTCGTATTCGCGACTGTTGATGGCTTTTTCGTTCCGTGTAGCGCGATAACCTGGTCAAGTCGACGCGATCTTTGTCGGACGATGCGCGCGAGCGCATGGAAAGCGAAAAGCAACGGTTTTTGGAAACCTCTCGAGACTTTGTTGAGATGATGGGCAGTGCTCAGCAGGCTCTCAAGGCCGAAACTGACCGCATTGTCGGCACAGACTGCACGCTCTGGGAGAAGGGTCAAGAGTTGAGCGAGGACTTTCTGGATCGACTCTCCGACTTGATGGACGACTGCTACCACTCGATGCAGGACTACACTGAGCGCGCTGCTGCACAGCTGAAGCAAACCGTCTCCCTACACTAAGAAGCGGGCTCTGAGAAAAAAAAAGAAACGCAAGCCCAATTGCGGGTAGCAAAAGTCAACTGCTTTCTCTTGAACCTGTCTGCAAGGCCCGGCTTGACATTTCAACGCATCTCTGGATATGTGCGGTACTCGTGCACGAGCTGTTTGTCCTGCCTTTCCCCATGGAGTGCATGTCGTCGGGCTTAACCTGTTGTTCAATTGCCAAACGGTGACTGTTTGTGGAGGAAATTTGTGCCGCGCACATTTCCCCTAGTAAAAGTGGTGTTTTATCGTTCAAATTGACAGTCACTGGCCTTCCATCAACGGCTCCAGTATCACATCACGCTTACTGATCCAGTACAGCACAGCACAGCACATTCATGCATTCACTTATGGGGCTCAATTACGCGACATCTGTGCCAGTTGCACCATCCGACAAGGCCGTGTTTAACAACGGATCGTAGGTTGATGCAATTGCTCTGGATAGGACGGGCGTCGTGGGCAAGAGGTAGTAAGGCCCCTCGGGGGCAATCAGCCATCGCAATCGCAATGGCTGCGGGTTGCCGTCTTCCGTGCCAAGGAGGTGAGTGTAAGGCCAAAGTAAAGAAAAAGCCAAAAAAAAAAAGAAAAAAAGAAAAAGGGGGCAGAGTACACTACTAAACTTGGGCTGGGGACAGAGCGGAGGAAGTGCCGGGTCTCTAGAGCAGAACAGCCACAGGCTGTCAACAGGGAAGAAGGCCGGCCTTTTGAACAGAGAAGAGTCGGCTTGTGGCTAGGAGGAGAAAGCGGTTGACCCGGACGCCTGTGAAGCGTTGATGGCCTCCCGGAGGGCGTGGACGGAGTCAGCATGGCCAAAACGTTGTGCAACATCCAGGGGCGTGTCACCGTGTCGGTCAATGGCCAGCGCTAGGCCTGGGTCTGCTCGAACAAGCTCGCGGATAACATCTGGCTCATCTGCCTCGGCAGCAGCGTGAATGGGTAGCCAGCCATTGTTGCTCTGTGCCGCACGAACATTGGCACCCGCTTGCAAAAGGATGCGCACGCAGGCCACGTTGCCTGTGGTGGCCGCCCAGTGAAGGGCCGTGCGATTGTGTAGCGTCACATCCACCGCATTAACATCATTGTGGGCCAAGGCCTGCACCAAAGCATCTCGGTTGCCCTCCTGCGCTGCCTCATGCAGATCCAGCGCCTGCATCTTGACTCAATCTCCCTTTTTTGATCTCGAAATAAAAGAGAGAGAGAGAGAGAGAGAGAGAGAGAGAGAGAGAGAGAGAGAGAGAGAGAGAGAGAGAGAGAGAGAGAGAGAGAGAGAGAGAGAGAGAGAGAGAGAGAGAGAGAAGAGAGAGGGGGAGAGAGAGAGAGAGAGAGAGAGAGAGAGAGAGAGTGAGAGTGTGTGTTTCTCTTTCTTTTGAGTCTCTCTCTCTCGTTTCCCTGTGCGGTCATTGTCAGATTTTATTGTCAGACAAAGTGTGTCAAATGGGCAAAGTGGATGATGGCACGGCTGCCCCCGAAGATCGTGTATACCCTGCCTGAGCTCAGTCCTGGCGAGGGGGTTGAGGAAGAGGAGGGTGATTTGGGTGGCGGCGTGGCGGTTACGGGGCAAGCACCCAAGGTTCTGTGCTTGCATGGCTGGCGCACCTCTGCCGAGATTCTGCGCTTTCAAGTATGCTTTCATGCTCCCATCGGGTGTGACAGCGCACCCGAGCTGGTGGTGGTCAGGCCCATGCTCATGAGTGACTGCCTGTAGTGCCGAGATCTACCCAAGCTGTGCCATTACCACTTTGTGGATGCCGTCCACTCGGCCAAAGGGTAGGTCAAGTATGAACCACCCAGCCCGGTCAACATTGCTTTCCTGGCCTCACTGCACGCCAACGAGCTGTAGGCCTGCACAGGAGATTGTACAGCAGTGCTTTGCACCACCGTACTACGAGTGGTATGATGCCCAAGATGATGAATACGTGGGTCTGGATGATGCTCTTGCCTACATCCGCGAAGTCAACGAGCTCTATGGTCCCTATGATGCCGTAAGTTACTGCCTTTGACGGTTGCCTGCGCTGATGGACCGTCGCTATGCCGCCTCGAGGTACTCTCAAGAATTGACCATGGCTTTCTCCATGCTCGACCCAGGTCCTGGGGTTCTCACAGGGTGCCAGACTAGCCGCCATCTTAGCTGCGCTGAGTATACGGAAACCTGATCGTTCGTGCCGGATGGGTTTGGCCATGTCCTGCCGCTCCTTCCTCCTTCACCACCCGCTGTGCATGTCGGTAGATGCTCCCATTCCCTCTCTACGCTTTGCCATTCTGTGCTCGGGGGCGCCTTCAAGCGATCGCCTGACACGCTCACTCTTTGAGGTATGTTATTGTCATCCAGTCAGTCCTTGACGTCACCCAGCGCGACTGCCCCTTTGGTTCACCCTTGAGCACGTGCGTGTCCTACAGGGGCCGGGACCGTTAGACTTACCCGTTTTTGTCGTACACGGGAAATCTGATTTTTGTCGTGACGCCTCCCTCCAACTCGGGCAGCACTTTTGCAATGCTACAGGTCTCTCTCGTTCTCCCTGAACAAGAATTACCGTGCTCTTGGCTATCCGTCCACACCGAAACTCACCCAGACGTTGTTGCCATAGTTTGTGAACACCAGGGAGGGCACGTCCTTCCCACTCGTGCCAATGGCCCTGACATTCTTAAACAGCTCGAAGCCTTCCTCAAGCAAGTTTGCCAACCAAGCATGAGTGCTGCCTTCTGACGTCCGAGAAGAAAAGTATTGTGGTCATGTCTAGCGCATCTTCCGAGATGGTCGCGCTCTTTTAGGGGTTTAATTGAATATTGATGCTATTATATCGTCTTGACGTCAAAGAACTATTGAACAAGGCTTGCCCGGGAGGTCGAGCAAGTCCATTGGCGAGGAAAATCAAGTTTCTTTTCTTTTATTCAACATGAGTTACGAGAGAGTTTACTGCCAGTCGCATGGTTGCAGGCTGCATAGCGGGCAAACCAAGAGCAAAGCATTCTTCTGCGGCATGATTATTCGTTTGTGCAAGCCGACGTGCAGTACTCGCGCAAAACCTAGTTCGTGCATGTTGTGAGTGATTGGACGTTTGAATCAAGACATTGGCGTGCAAGAATCGCTCGTTCTTCACTCAAAATCCATTTTGTGGCACACCATCACTGACTTGATAAGCAGCCGACTGGTGCTGTCCCGTGCTTTCCAGTACTTGGAGGGCAGTCTTGCCATCGCCATTGAGCGCCTCAGGGCTAGTCATTGGGACGAGCATTAGAATGAGGAAATGGTTCAATCAACCCAACAATGCATGTGACATCAGGGATAAAGAAGAGGCAGCATAGCAAACTGTTGGGGCAAAACTACAGACTTGGCATTATGTTCAAGTAGGCTGCGCATCACGTCGCCCCGTTCGAATAGCAATCGTGCGGCGATATGGATGGGTTGCTCGAACAACAAGTGGGTGCGCGAGGCTGCTTTGTGAGACGTCAATGCTAATTGAGCAGGCGCGCCATGCTCCAATAGCCACAACGCCGTGTCGGCATGCTTGTTAACCAGCTAAGCCAGTATCAAACAAAGAGCAAAAAGGCAAAGCTTAAGCAAAGTGTTAATGCTCTAAAGAACACTCACATGCGCACTGCAATGAAATGCGAGCCACTACGCACGTACCGCCCAATGTAAAGGCGTCCGAAACCAGCGATCCTGCGCCTGCGTCCATTGGCCAGCAAGATCTCCTGTGAGTGCTCCCACGTCTGAACTGTTCTAATGTTTGATGCATCGCACCTTCAAAAGTTCAGGCTTGAGTGCGAGGAGCACAGCCAAACAATCAGATCGACCGGCACGTGCGGCGTGGGTTGAAAGCCATTGGCCTGCACGGTCTCGCGCAGATACAATGGCGCCGCCCGCCTGCGGAATACATGACACATGTTCGCCGACAACGTGAGCAATTTCAATCGATGCCATCAGGTGGGGTCATGCATGGCCACTTGTTCCACCCCAAGCAAAGCTCGCACCAAAAGAGTTTCGAGAACCGCGGCGCCCGTCTGAGCGGCCAAATGAGCTGGCATCACGTTATTGGCATTTGGTAAATTGACCTTGGCACCAGCACTCAAGAGTTGCTGCACTAACAGTGCGTTGCCCGTTAAAGTGGCCGCATGCAGCGGGCTTTGCTTGCGAGCATGCCTCGACACGCTGCCGTTGACATCAAAGAGCTGAGCATCACAATCCAGAGCCTGAAGCCGAAACAATAACGGCAAGACCAAGTGCCCTTGGGTATGGCTTGCCGCGCGGTCCAAAACATGTTGCAATGGGCAAGCCGAGTTGTGCAGATTATTTGGCGTCAAAGAATCTGTCTCAGCTACCGACCACTCTAGCCCAGCGTCCCTAAGTGCTTGCTCAAAAAAAGCTGCATAACGTTCAAGTGTGCGGTACTTGAGCACTGCTTGCGGGTCAAAGGGGCCCTCAAACAGGCCCAGAGCCATACGCTCAGGTTGCGAGTCAGGCGCTACCTCCTTGCGCAAACGAGTCACCAAGCGCATCGCGCCCAACGAGTCACCTCCTGAGACCCAAAAGTCAAAGTCTGGCCGAGTGCACGGCGTGCCCAAGAGCATGGCCCATATGTCCCCGATGTAGCCTTCTACGGGCGTCAACTCGCGAGCCGGCTGGGAACCTTTTTGGGCGTCCGCTTGTGCGGCAGCGACAGAAGCCCGCAGTTGAGCTTTATCCCGCTTTCCCGTTGCGGTCAGTGGCCAGTCCGAAATGAATACGATGGTTGAGGCAAGGAAGGCAGGTGGCAAATGAAGTGCTAACCAACTATTCAACACTGGCTGAACGAGGTCACGCAGTGGAAACAAACGTTGGCTCTGTAGAACCAAGCTCAGCTGAGGTGGCATCATCCAATACACAGGTGAGTAATGTCCAGGCCCCGCTTTTTTGTTTGTCAACCGTGGCTCGGTGAACAAACCTTGTTGTCAACAAGAAGGACTGCCGCTTCCAATTCCTCGTCAAGAGCTTGCACCACTTTTTCAATCTCTGCTGGTTCTATTCGGACCCCGTGAACCTTGATCTATCCCATCACCCACATGCTCGCATTGAGTGTCGCTATGGCTCTGCTCAACAAGCCACGCAAAAGACACGCGTCCTGCCTTGCACGCACAAGACTGGGCTCTCGCACACCCAACCTCATTCTTTTTGCCCAACTGGTCGGGCAAACAAATGGGAAGAACGCTTGAGTCTTTACTAATATCGAGCAGACTCACCTGATCATCCAGCCGGCCCAGAAGGTCGAGGTGGCAGTCAACTGACCGGCAAACCACATCTCCTGTGCTGTACCAGCGAGATCCATCCTCTTCAGTAAAAAATCCACCATCATGATCCAGATATTGCGCTACCAAGGTGCCACCAAGAACGAGCTCGCCCTCACTCGGGTCGCTGAGGGCTTGGTTCTCAGACTTGATTCGGTATAGCACGCCCGGGTAAGGCTGACCAATGGAGCCTGCCCTGGTTGCGTCATGCAGGCGGCAGCTGAATTGATATACGGTGCATTCGGTAGTCCCATATATGTTAAAGAGTCGATAGGTGCACCAGCGTGCTTGAAGAGATGCGGGCATACGCTCCCCACCCAACATGATGGTGCACTCAGGGTCTTGAAGCGCTGAATCCACCGTGCCCCATACCGCCGGTGTGCTGCACACATGCGAAAAGCGTTGGTGCTGACATACTGCCGCCAGCTGGCCAAGCATCGCGGCCGTATCCCTTGCCACAAGCAGCGTAGCGCCCACATGGCGGGCCGTGAGAATCTCACCCACAAAGGGGTCAAAGAGGGGTGCAGATACCAGCAATACACGACTTGTTGCATGGTATCCGTGCAGACGGGCGTGACCACGAATATATTCGAGCATATTCAGCCGGCTGGTCACCACACCCTTGGGCCGTCCGGTCGATCCGCTTGTATAGTACACATGGCAGGTATTCGGGGGCAGGGAGATGTCAGGCACCTCCGGCCGAGGTGTCAAGCTCCATGCGGTTTCGCCTGCGTGCCACTCAAGGGTGTGGCTAGCAATTTGCTGCAAGATATATTCTCGTCGCTGTGATGGCATGCCACTAACGATGACATATGGAACAGCAAGTTCGAAGCAAGCTGCCACACCAGCAACGAGGTGGGGCGTGCTGCTCAAATCCAGACCAATGCACGTGACATCTGACATGCTCCGCAAGAGCAGCATCAGCTCTTGCAGAAGCTGTGGAAAACTCTCCACAGCTGACACATCGTTCTCGGTTTTCAGATCGATGCGCTCAACCCGAAAGGTTTCCATGTTAATGTCGACCTCCGTCCAGTCACTCATGCCTGCTCGATGCGGCCCGACAAGTTGCGCTCACATCGAGCAGAGTCTTGTGCACATGGAAAAACGTTGCATCAGAAAGAAATTGGGTGAAAAATTTGAGATGTGAAGAGTTCGGAACTCAATTTTGTATCAGTGGTTTATTCTTCTTGGACAAAGTCCACCGCTCTGAACGACGACTGATGCATCGAGCACGAGAAGAAAAAACAAACAAACAAGACCACTCTCACAGATCACACAGAGCACAGACACTGCCGTCGCACCGCTCATGGATGAGGCAGACGCGTACAGAAAAGCACGTTCTGGCTGTTGGACTGGCGAGACAAACAAACAAATGAACAAACTACCAAAAAAAGGGTCGGGATTATTCTTCTTCTGATGAACAAAGGGAGAGGATAAGATGAAAAACGACAAAACGACAAAACTACAGGTACCATGTGAGATCAAGAAGCGCACACGCTCATCATCATAGGTGATCATCCTCGCCGCTCGCCTCGTGAAGTTGAAGCTCTGAAACATTGCCAAACACAAATGGCGATTCTTCCATAGCCGCGTCGTCGTGATATCGAACGCTAGTGAGGTTGATGCCTTGCTGCGTGGCATCAGGTAGCTGATCCTCTGTGACACCGAAGAATTTGAGACGCTTTGTACCACGCTCAGGTTCGCGAGGCAGTGCATGGTCTTCAGGCACCTTGCGAGCCGCAACACGTGCCCGCAGAAGCACAACTCCAAGCACCAGCGTCACGACCAGACATATCACGTCCTGCACCAGAAGCCATGATGGAGACTCTAAGCCGACCACAGGGATAACTAGGGCAGCAGTGAAGAGTGCCAGAGGCAAAGCAAGCCAAGGGTATGCATGACTGGTCTGGGGATCGGGCTCGCTTTGAAGAGAGTCTTCTGGCAATGATGCTGGCAAGCTCACAGCGGAAACTCCATGAACACCATCGTATATCGGATTGGCATAGGTTGCCAAATGTCGAGGCGTTCGGCCTTGTTGATGAGCCGCCACTGAAATTTGAGCCGAACGTGAGCGACACGCCCAAAGACCCCAAATGAACAGGCCACCAAAAACCGGTAAGACCAACGCCACCAAAGCCGTCGTCAGGCGCAGCGAGAAAGACATCTCGATACATCTATCAAGGCATATCATCAAGAAGATCCCGGGGATGTGGATGAGCGCTCTGGTATCAAGAGGCACGGCAGTCGTTAAGAACACACGCCTACCTGCTGTCGCTACTGTCCAAGTCATCGTGTGCGGCTGAGATGGCACTAACACCGGCAAACAAAATGGCTGCGACAATTGCGTAGCGCGCATCAGTTGTGCAGGTAAACAATCACGCGGCATGCGAGAAAAAAACAAATGCGAGCACAAATTTTGCTTTGCTCAAGAACATCGAGGGTGCAATTCTCACCATAAAGCACAGCCGTAGCTGCGAAATGAAGGAAGGGCAAGACCGAAAGAAGAAAGGTCATGAAAAGCCATCTGAAATTGAAGCAAGTGTCAAGAAAGGTGAGACCTGGCATGGTGTGGGCACTCCTTCAAAGAAACGGACCAGGCATGGCAGACAGCATGTAGTGGGAACTCACCCGCCATGGAAAACAGCACCCGCTATGTACACGCTCTTGATGACTTGACAAGCGTCGGAGCTTGGCTCAAGCACATCTTCGTTGAATCCGATGCCAGCCAGACAAAAGGCAAACAACGAAAAGAATAAATGAAGCGAAGCCCCGCATTGCCCATCAATGGGTCCAAAGTCCATGCAAACCGTTACAAGAGCAAGGACAAGGGAAAGTGCTGCAGCAAGAGCGCGTATAGAAAAGGGATAAAATTCCGCAGTTTGGCCTTGTGAGCCCAAAAACGGTGCTTCTGTTGTGGGAGGAAAAGTGGTGATAGGCAATGTGGCTTCGTCTGAAGCACTTGAGCTGATGCTCGAGGTGCTGGAGGTACTGGAGGTACTGGACGTGCTGGAAATACCGGAGGTGCTGCTTACACACTCACGGTCTTCCGTAGACGTCCCATTGCTGAGGGCCGGACCCTCGCAGACGCTTCGTGCTACGCAACTGTCACTTGCTGCATTGTAATACTCGATCGACCCTCGGCACCCATAATAACAGTATTCCTCGCCTCCCGATCCTGTATTCTGCAGTGGGCGCGGATTGAATCCACCTACGCCTTCGCTAATAAGATTGACCATCGTGCCTTCCACGCTTGACACCGTCGCGTTCAACTCAAAGTTGTACTCATATGGACTGGTCACCGCACCTCCGAAGTACTTCAACTGGTCACTGGCCAGCACCCGCAGAAAAAATAGCACATCAATCGCGGTCGAATCTCCAAGGAGCGGGATGGTCAAGGCCGTGCCTGGCGTGTAGGGGACCGCCACGGCAACCGTCTGAGCACTGCCACCTAGCGCATCAAAGACAGCCAAGCCAGACGCATTGTCAAAGCCTCGCACGACTCGCTCAGCCAGCGAGCTATTGACACTGCCATCTGTCGCTAAGAAAACCAGCCAAGCTTCGACAGCACTGTTGTTGACTTCCTCCAGGCTTGCAGTCAGCACACTGGTGGCGAGTTCTACGCGGCACTCGCCAGCGGTACTGTTCCACCGTTCTACCTCAAAAGAAGGAACAAAAAACATGGACCCCACAAGGATTTGCAGTTGGAAAAGCAAATCAGTGCCCGTAACTACTCCATTACGGTCAGCGTCGAGGCGCCCCTCTAATTCAGCATTTGCTGCAAGAACTGCTGCCACTTGCTGGCCCGTTGCGCTCACAAAATTTGACGGTGCGGTGATGGTGTAAAGGAGTGTAAAGTACGAGTCACCGGCATCAAAGGTACAAGTGCCGTCAGCATCCAGAGGGTGACCACAGGCTCGCCGCGAGCGCGAAGTTGCCGTTGGCGCCCACGCCGCGCGTACGCCAGCGGCCTCACTGCTTCGTCGTCGGCGGGCCACATCTAATTCAAGCACAACAACGCCTGCCACGAACGTACGCGGCGTGCTGCTACCAATATCCTGAGCGGGGACATCTTTGTCCTTCAGTGAGTCAACCTGCCCACTTAAGATGGCAAGCTGGGCAGCAGGGGTGTCCTGGCTGAGTGTCACTTGAAACAACTCAACAGTAGCGCCTTGCAGCGTTGACTGCACAACTCCACTGACTGACAATTCACGGCCATCCACATTGAAAGCAATCTCACCCTCCGCGTAAGACTTGGTCACCCCACCAATGCTCAGACTACCAGCAGTCCACGTCAAGCGCAAATCAAAGGCACCCACATCAGCTCCATTTGTGTTTACCCGAACGGGCAGGGTCAGGGCACTTGGGCCGATAGGAACTTGTAGCGTGAGACTTCCGCTGATGGGACCAAGATCCACATCGCCGGCATCTGGTTCCAGATTGACGTATGGATTGAGGGAGCTGCTTACTGAGCCACTGGGCACTGTGGCGTGGACATGAAGCAAGGCCTCGCCATTATCGATGAGTTGAACTGCACCTGTGACAGAGTCGGCCGCAACAACCATGTTGCTGCTGTTGTCAACACTGAAGGCCAAGAGACCAGGAAGCACCGGGGTACCCGAATACGGCACAACATCACTGAGTTCGGTTGTGTCATTGAAGATGAGGTCGATGCGTTGTCGACAAGCTGTAGCACCCACAACCCCACGGATGGTCAGGGGACTTGCGTCCACGCTGCCACTGCCACCATAGGCAAGCAACGAGTGCAAACCGATGGTGTCAACCACGACCGAGGAATTGGAAATAGTGATCATCACCTCATTGCTCTCGATCATGCCAAAGAGAGCACGCACATTGCCCTCAACAGCATCAGCAGCTTGGATGAGGCCCGAAGATGAGACGGTGGCGCTGGGAAGGAGTGAGGTGGCGCTAATTGCTAGATCGGTCATGGGCACGGGGTTCACGTCGCCGTTGCTCAGGGTCGTCTGTGCAGTCAGTTGAAGATTCTGGTAAATTACATCTCCAGAAGTGCCAAAGTATCGGTACGCTATGCGCTTCTCCGCATTGGTAGATCCAGGGTAACTCGGGGAAGGGTATGAGGCGAGTTGAACGGAGACCGTTTTGACCACGCGCACTTGTACCCAGCCAATCACGCCCGAAAATTCGGCCGTGATATTTGTGAAACCCGTACCAACGGCGGATATGCTGGGCGAGCCCGCAGTATTACGAGCCACAGTGACGACACTGGTATTAGACGAGGAGAGTACAACACGTTCGTCCGTGCTCAAAGTGCGTGAGCTACCGTCGCTGTAGGTGACACGCACCACCAAAGTCGTTGATGTTGCATATCCTAGCACGGTGCTTGGGTCGGATGGCTCAACGAGAAGTGCCGAACCCACTGTGAGCGCAACGCCGGTGGCATTGGGCATTCGCACCAACACTGTTGAACGACTTTGGGCAACATAGGTATATGGCGAGACACACGAGCTGGGGTTGCGCCATGCAACAAGCAAGTTGAATGTATCAGTGCTTGACATGGCGTTGATTGGAACATAAACACTCTGCGCGCCGTTGTTGATAGACAGAGTCTCGTTTTCCAGCGAGGTAAGCGAAAAATGGTGTGTAGCCGGTCGTAGAATCTGAAAATGGCCAGAGGCAAAGCGAGCAATCACCACAATCAAAGCGCTGTCACCCTCAGCCGTAAGAGCTTGTGAAAGCGTCGTGATGCTGGCCTGGATGATACTATTTGCAGTGCCCACCACAGCAAGTGTTGTGCCAGTAATGGGGCGAGCTTCTAGGGCTGACAGCTCGTCGATTGCTGTGCTGCATTCAAGATTCAAAGTACCCAGGACACTGGAGGAAGCTGCCGTCACGTTGATGTTTGTCATACCACTGCTCTGGCAAGCAAGAAGAAGACGGCCGTAGCCCTGGTCCGAGTTGACGACGCTAGCGACCGCACTTGTTGCTGCCACTGCATTTGAATCCAAGATATTGGTTACGTCCTCTTCCACAGTCGTGCCAGCGATAGAAAACTCGGCTCGAGC